ACAGTAGACTCGCATATATTTTGCATAATTCGCACACGATTCAACCCACGCTGTATTACACACGAAATAAGAATGATTACTAATAAACTTAAACTAAGTCGTATACCAAACCAAAGAATATTAAACACAGGTAGGTATAAAATTATTTTCTATTACGGGGCACAATTTTACCTGAATTTAAACTCCGAAACTTAGATAATAATCTTGTTGCATTGTATGTTAATGACCACCCTTGAATAATCCCATTCAAAAACAATTGGTCACTTTCTTAAATCTATGAACAGATCATGCCTGATTGTATATATAGATGTCGGAATATTGTGATATTTTGTCGAAACAGCTGTCATAAAGTAATAAGTAACTGTACCAAACCAACGAATATTAAACACAGGTAGGTATAAAATTATTTTCTATTACGGACCACAATTTTACCTGAATTTAAATTCCGAAACTTTAGAAAATATGCATTGTATGTTAATGACCACCCTTGGATTTAAAAGCAATTGGTCACTTTCTTATATCTATGAACAGACCATACTACCAACGAGAAAACACACCTCTTTGAGGACCCTACGCCTAGTGTACCAATAAAAAAACCATGGAAAGTGATGGGAGAAACTTCTACCAATATTAAGGCCATCAAGCTATGTTATATTCACAGTTTCTTATACGAAGCAAACGTTATCACGATTGAAATAGGAAGCAACCAGATCCAGAAAATTTAGAAGAGAATCCGATATTTTACTTAAATTAAAGTGGCAAGCCAATCTAATAGACCATCTCGATTACGGAAATCTAAAACGATACTAACGTTTCATTGAAACTATTGCAATCGAGGATGTAAATTTGGTTCGAACTATATGTCGACAAACACGGAAGAAGGAAGTACCCTTGCCGCGTTGGTTTCTATCATTTCTTGCTCCATACGCGGACGCCGCTGTACGAAATACGTCAATTTGTTTGAAATCTTCAACGCTAAAAATGATGGCATTTCCACACTATAGTAATTTGTTTTATCGCTTTGCTTGCGCTCCACTTACGCTTCTACATTTGCTTTTACCAAAATGTTCGCACTCTTACAATTAAGGCGTCGATGTAAAGCCTTATCAAATGTGATTGGGACAATGTTGTCAAATGTGTTAGTGGTTATGAAAAATAATCGATTATTCAAATACGTTTATCTACTCTGTTACTTTTCTGCATATAGATCATGCCAAATGCCCCCAGATACATTAAGCTATATTTGCGCTATTTCGATACTAAATTGAGTCTCGTAGAATGGTCGTGATATCTTCTTTTTTTTTTCACGCAAGTTGAGTTGTAATGACCTAAAATATTAGGAAGCACGATACGAGGGGATACCCAAAAATAACCGGAATCATTTTTTATAAACTATATATTGTTTTGAAAATCACAGAACGACCTTATCCCCTTCAAAATACTCTCCATTACAACTAATACATTTGTCCCAGCGGTGCTTCCACTGTTCGAAATATTTTTTATATTCATCTTTGGCTATAGCCGACACCTCATCCCTCGTTTTTTTCTTGACCTCTTCAATGTTGTCAAATCGCTCTCTTTTCATGTCCCTTTTCATACTTGAAAATAAGAAAAAGTCACACGGAGCGAGATCAGGCGAGTAAGGTGCATGGGGCAGAGGAACCATGCCATTTTTAGCCAAAAACTGCTTAACAGAAATGGCTGTATGTGTAGGTGCATTATCGTGGTGAAAAAACCAGTCCCCTGTCCGCCACAAATCGGGTCTTTTTTGTCGAATACTGTTGCGCAATCTTCTTAAAACTTCCAGATAAAAAGCTTGATTAACGGTCTCACCTGGTGGAACAAACTCTGCATGAACTGCGCCGTTGAAAGAAAATCTGGATCCGTTTCAAGCTGTTGATTCAAAGCACGACATGTTTCAACTCGATGTTCTTTTTGCATGTCAGTCAGAACACGAGAAAAACTCTTTTGATACCCAAATCTTCGGTTAAAATTCGCTGAACCGTGCTCCAAGACAATCCACTAATCTTTGATAATTGTTCAATTGTCTGTCGACGGTCTGTGAGCACAAACTCTCGAATCTTCAATATTTTCGGCGATTCGAGCAGTTGATGGACGTCCAGAATGAGGTCGGTCATCAATTAACTCGTCGCCATTTTTGAAGTGAACAAACCACTGGTACACTTGAGTTTTTCCCTTCGCATCGTCTTTATAAGCTATTTTTAACATTGAAGCAGTTTCAGCAGCACTTTTACCGAGCAAAAAAGAAAATTTCACAGCTGCACGTTGTTCTTTTAAACTTGCCATAAAAAAAACGGAATAACAAAAAAACAACGTTAACAAAAAATGGCACTGCAAGTGAACAAAACAAGTTAAATTTAAAACGAAGGTGGCGTTGAACCCGTAATAAGTTGTACTATCCACAACCTAGCGGCAGAAACGTGTACTATACAAGCTCTGCGCGCGGCAATTCAACTCCGGTTTTTTATGGGTACCTCCTCGTAGAAGACAGAGCTGAATGAAAAAATTTACCAGAGTCATGAGAAAGGTAGTTTCACATAAAGCCAATGCCTATGTGTACCATAATATCCAACTTTAGCATAAAAAGCAGGACTTAAGGCACCGGTCGTGATACTAAACTCATAAAGGGGTTGATTATGCGAGACTTGAGTCCCAGACTACACAAAAGGAAATACTTCGTTAATACAAACCTGATATGAAGATTCCAAATCAGTTCTATAATCTATATTTTATTGGTGGAATAAGTAAAGGTTTTGTCGGATAATAGGAAGGAAAAGGAGGTAGAAGTCTGTCCAACCACCTATAGCGTTTCTCTATGGTTAGCCATCTGCTATCTTGGATTTTATTTTAGCGATACGAGCTGATATTCTCTGATTCTTTCGAGGGCACGCAATGTTAAAAGTTTTCGAAGTGCATGTTTGTTAAGCCAAAGGGAAGAGAACAAGTTGCTGAATGACAAATCTGAGACGTGTATTCAGTGACTGGTATTATCTGCATACCATATACAAAATTGCTGCAAAGTAGAAATGGTAGTAAGGTAAAGGGTTTAAATACGTTCAAAGCAAAAGTTGTTACGGTGTTGTATTATGATTTTGAAAGTACAAAGCGACAGTCGCCATGGCTTAGAAGTGTTAAGGGAATCTCGCTAAGTTATGATGTGTTGAAATTCAATATAATTTTGATGTGTTAAGCGAAAGTCGCTATGGAAAATATAAATAAATCAAAGTCGTTGTAGTTTGGAAATGTGAAATGAAAGTCGCTATGGTTTTGGAAGAGGCTAAAGTTGTCATGATTTTGATGTGTTAATGTGTTAAGCGAAAGTCGTACTTTCGAAATAAGTCACTATGATTTTGGAAATGTCAAATGTCGCTACGATTATATATATTAACAGATCGTCAAAAACAGACGCATGAACTTCCGCCAATAAATAGGTTAAACTTGACAGAAGAAAAAGCTATGATTTTTTATTGTTATGGGTTAAGTGTAGTTGCTGTCCTAGACATGAAAATTTGTTCATGATAGTGATATATCGTGTGTTTACGTTATAATATCGAGTTTGGCGATCGGACAAGGGAGTGCAACTATAACCGAGGCGGAGTTATGGCCTTAAAACAAACAGTTGTTGATTGATAACGTTATCGACATTTGGGGAAAGTGTGTACACCCGATATCACAAAACGCATCACCCGCCTCCCTCCAAAAAAATGCTAGTAAACACAAAGTTCTCTCGTACTATGACGTATTGTCTCCGTCTCTCTCGCAGTTTTCTCCTCCTCCACCCGTGAACCTTGGCTATTTTAACTCGACGACGGCGCCTACGATTTTGTATTCCTGCGAGGTCGTTAGGAGCGTGCGGACGTGTCAGTGACAGACGGTTTTAAAGCGCTTTACCAGTTACAGTGTTTACCACGATTATCATCATCGGTCAAAGGACATTTCGTGTTGGATTTAGTGACAAAGAGACCTTAGCCGTGTGTGACTTGTTGCCGTTTCTAAATTGGAAATAAAAGTAAGTCCTAAGAAATAGTGATCCATTTCTCGGGACTAAAAGTACCAGCGACGAATTGGAATGCGATTAACGTCTACATTCCGAAGCACCAAATCGAAACTTATGCAGTTATGCAAACTGTAGTTAAGAATTGCTTCCTTACATTTCGCTCAGCACGAGTGGAAAGCTAGCTTCGTCCGAGGTCCTTCCATCTTCGATATTGGCCTATATACATACAGTCTACGTCCGGCATCGGATATGGAAGGACATCGGAGGACGCTTGCCACTCGAGCTAGAGAAACGTTTGTTTGGCAACGACGGCCTCTACATCCGAATCAGGACATCAGTGACCACGAAAACCTTAACCAATCTAATTAAACTGCGACCGAGATATTATTTGAAGGTTGTATAAAATAAAACACAGTGGATTTTGATTTTATAGAACTATTTAAATTCATTCTTTTAAGAACACCCTCGGAAGGTATCAGTTCAACTGACTATCGACTAAATAGTAATCATCTGTTTTTATAAACTAAACTAGCAGTGATTTTTGTAAATATTTCAACATTTATTGACCGACCGATTAACCAGCGAATCGATGCGTTCGGGCAATTGTTCGGTGCTCGCGATAAGAATTGAATAATTTCCCGTTAATTATCTTGTCTTTTTTTTTTTTCGACCGCTTCTAGAATGTCGTAAATTACACCTTGGACCTGTTTATATTATTAAAATACGTATCGTACCTGCCTACGACCATGATTATTTAGAATTTGCGAATGACGTCAAACTTTATTGGTAAACAATGACATTTTTATTGGCGGGTAATTAAAAAAACAGAACGATAGATGACATTTTTGAATGGCATCCCAAATCATCGAGATTATCTCCGAAGGTTGGGTTTTTCAAGGTGAATTCGACGAAATTAGTGAACGGATTTGATGAATCAACCGTTTTTGACTTATTTAACGGTTGTTTTATTTTATTGTTTCAGTATCCTCCGACATGTCTCTTGCCGGCGTACACCACCCAGCCGATCTTCATTCTAGCCGCGGGTAAGTCTAATATGCTTACCTATGATGTGTATCTCAGTTTGTGTTTGTGTTTTGTTTATTTCTGAACTTCAACTAGATATTTATAAAAAACTAAACAAGATTTCTTTCAAGGACAGATAAATAGACAACTGAAAAGTGAAGTTATGATTGCATAATTGATATTTGACCCGTTTTCAATTGATTTTCGCGTCACCTTTAGTCTTATATCGATTACAAAGGATTTTATAAATACCTTTTTGGTAACTTATGAAACTAAAAGGTTTTTAATATTACTTGAAATCCCAAGTTTTTAAAAGGCACAGCTAGTGAACATGGTAGCCATGTACAAAATGGAAGAATACAAACTTAAAGACATATTTACCCAATAATATGCATTTCATTTTAATTGCCAGGCATTTACCTTTAAGGCATTTACCAAAATTAGTTTTAAAGCGCAAAGAAGCACATTAGAAGTTAGAAAATGTTTGGACGTATCTTTGACATTTAGGAAGGGACTCTTTCGTCAACCATAATAAAGGACGATAGAATCACAATAATGTTAATCCACAACCCGATGCATGGAGTCTTGGGATTCTACTACCGAATCCTAAACCTTTCTACACTGACGTGCTGCAAAAGGGAACGCGTCACTCCTTTTAGATGCAAATGGAATGGAATCGGAGCAATTAAAATTTTAAATCGCAGAACGAGCGATTCTGCAATTATAATCGACGCGTCAAGTCGAAAATTGACGTCACAATATGTAGTTATTTGGTAAATATAACGGGTTCGTCGCCGCATCAACAAATCAAAAGTATTTTTATAAACCAAATGGAACGACATTGACGCAAGACTTTAAAACAATCGTTTCTGCAAATATTCGGAATCAAAGCAAACAACTTAAATCCTATTATAGCCGGATGCAAATGAAAGGGAATTTTCATTTAAAAATAGGCCAAAGGATTTGCTATTGTCTCGATCGCTACCGAGCGGCGTCGTTTTTGCATTTATTTAATGCACGATTCTACCGTATAATCGGTAGAAATCGGTCGTATCAGCGGACCGACGTGGCAACGTCGCGTGGTTTATGCAACTGAGGATCTACTATGAACTTGAAACTTTGTCGTTTCACAATTCGTGCTGTTTCCAAGCAAATTAACCGTGATTTACACACGTGATTGCACAATTGTGGGTCTACCATTTACACAGTTCTTTCCGTCTCAGTAGCCGCTCGTTGCACAATATCCATGCTTCTTTTCTATGCGAAAATTCATATATTTCAAATTAGATTTGAAACCTAGAATTACCTATAGAGTTCTATGAGCAGTATCGTTTTCTGCTAAATTTAGATCAAAAAGTGTAGTTTTGTTGCTCTACGGTAGTTATTTTGTCGACATAAAACCCTTTACGGAAATTAGATCTCAAAATGGATATCTCCTGCTGCGTAGGACCTTTTGTCTTTATTCGACCAAAAAGGCAAAGACAGTGTGGGTAGATTTGGAATTGCCTTTTATCCCCCATTTTCACAAAACGATTATTTGTATTGACAGCATTACACGTTGCCACATAGTGCGGTCAATTTTAAAATAGGCCTGCTGTGTTGCGGTACATTGTAGTAGGAGAAAGATTGTTAAAGGCACCGGATTTCCTGAATGATGTGTCACATCTTGGCCTTTAATAAAAAAAATGCCCGAATCGTTAGTCGCAATTTTAAATGGTTATCGATTCTATGGCGACTGGATGGCGGCAGATAGCGATAATTTTCGGAGGACGTCGTCGCCAATTTTGCCGAACCGAGCGGTAGGAAGTTCCAAGGTCTTCATTTTGGAACTATGTTTCAGCTTGGACGCTACATTCCGTAGTTAAAGTAGATAACCCAGCGCGGCAAGTTCATTCAAGAAAGCAATGACTGCGCACTCGTCCCGCACTCGTCCCATCGTTGGTAAATAACGTGTTTGGTACACGTCGTAGATGTTGAACAGTCCCGGATTTTACAGACAATGGAATCTGACGTGGCACTTGGTTCAAACATCTCGCCGGCGCCAGAATTTTATATGCCGACATAAAGAATAAAATGTTTGCATTATCCGATGCTACGATGATTATGCTTTATCTTGGACGTGAGAGGTTTTTGTTTATATAGCCCTCGAGAAGCTAGAATAATTTGTTTCGAAAATAATCTAAAATTAGATAAACTCTGGACAATTGAATCTTATGCAGAGGAAAACTATCAGCCTGGTTTTATGGGAGATTAATCAACAATACATCAAATATTTACCATCAGGCAAGCCATGGAAAATGTAACTAGAAAGACGATAGTCCAGGTTGTTGCAGCTGTATATCGTCACAATGGTCCCAGCTTTTTGCACAGAGTAATACTGCATCAAGGCTACCTTAAAAAAAACGCGAGTGACTTCGATGTCCAAATTAAAGAAGACAAAATTAAGTACATGAACCAGAAATAACCAACGCAGCGACAGCGAACCTATCAAAAAGTTAAAATATCTGGGAGCAATGCTAACAGAATACACCCACGGAACGGAGGAACTTAACTGCAGAATTCAAGCAGGTAATAGCAAGATGTCTTTTTATAATGCAAACCCTCCTAAAATCCAAAGTAATATGAAACGTACAATAATCAGTATATAATGTATGGCTGTGAAGCTTGAAGGTTAATGAAGATTTTGGATACATGAAGAGGGCGATACAGAATCTGTACCAACAAAGAGTTAGAAGGTTTTTATGGAGATTCCAAAATTGTGCTAGAATTAAAATCTAAACGACTGCAGTGGGACATGTAAGCCGCACAATTAAACTCGCTTGGGAAGAAGCACCAGTAGGTAAAAGAGCATTAGGCCGCCCACGGCTCCGATGGAAAATAATATCGCCAAAGACTTAGGGGTAATGAATATTGATGACCCCTTAGATGCTATGAGAAACAGACAGCGATGGAGGAATATTGTGAAGTGGGCAAATGACCCACCCGGGGTTGTAAGCCATGAATTAGAGCAGTAACAGAGTAGAAAGATCAAAACTATATCATCAGTATATCCCACAGTATCGTATTATTCATCGTATTATATTATTAAAAACACATTGCCATTGCAGATTTAAAATTTTGCGATTGTCTCATGTCGGTCTGGAGGCACTTGATTTTGTTCTTTTTCGTTTCAGTTCGTTGATTACGATGAGTCACAGCCTGGACGACATCACCAACTGGGGCTGCAGCCCACCCACGGCCTTCCACTCCGACCACGTGTTGACCATCGAAGAGTTACGCGACCAAATGAACTGCTGCTTCACCTGTGGCGTTTCGTGGGCGGACAGCCACGTGTCTTTGGATTGTTCCGAATGCGGGGGCTACGCCCTGGACAGACCATGTCCGGAATGTGACGGCGGCTGCGGCGGCGTGTGGAAACGAGACTTATCGTCGGTAAGTCATGGGTTACGCTTCTCGACCACAACTACAAACCACAGACTAGTATACCGTGGCCATAGAGAAATTGAAAAAAAGGGACTCGTTCAACACCACCCACATTACAAGACCGCGCAACGCTAAAGTCTGAGTCATCACATTAAGAGGATAAAAAACGTTTTATAGGCAATAGGACATATTGAAAATAATAAGGAGTTGTTCTGAAACTGTACTAAAATATTCGTTACTGTTGCTTCTTTCTGGTTTAAATTTAAAAATCTAGTCACTTCCCTAACTATTTTTTCAAGCCGATTTATATCAGTTACTTTCAGTGCCACGCTGATTGACTGACAAGTCAAAATCCTGGGGCGCAAAAACGCAACATTTTAAATTTATTCTATTTACTTGAACATAAAATAAACATATGTTTTTGTGAAACCTTACGTGCCCGCGATTGTCTGTCTATATTTAAACTATTTATTTTTGAAAAGGCGTCCTCAATGTCAGTAAAAAATATTTTGTCTGTCTATATAAGCGGACTCAATCTGAAAACTTTCGGCTCTTGCCTCGAGTTTTAACTTTGGCCTTTTTACTGAACACCAGAAAGAAAAAATTAATAAATAACGACTACTTTTAATCAAGCGCCGGGTTTTGAACGCATTGGCTATTAGTGCTTGTTGATTTGGCAGTGCAGGTTGTAATTTTGAAAAATAAATAAAACTCACATACCTTACAATAAATAGGATTATAATTTTTTTAACTTACCAGCCCATCTGTTGTTGGAACAAATAAATTTTCCCTTTTTATTGCTTGAACCAAGTGTTTCTATAATTATATCAAAAAAGATATGTAAATGTCATACTGTAAGCAAACACTCAAAAATAGTTAATACTAATATATTGACCTCATACACTTTACTAACTAGTTAGTAGTTAATATTGGTTAAGTGAAGCAGTAAAATTTTAACTTCGCCTTTATTAGAAATTTTTAATGACTGCTAAATTATTCACGTTTACGCGACAATTATTTCTTTAAATTTGTTATTTATTTAATATCGAAGACCTATTATTGTCATTTTTTCCTAAACAATAAAAAATAACAATCAAAAACCTTGAAAGCGACGGACATTTATCCGCCGTTTTTGTGGTGACTCACCACTGCTTAATATGTCGTTTCTTCACCTTATTGTAGAGGTCTTGTTGGGTACAAGATGCTCGTTTTATACTTTTAAATTTCTCTACGAATGTGACCACAACCTAGTAATCGTTTTTTTTATGTTAACAGTCTCACGCGAGCGGCAAAGCCAAATGGATCGGCGAATGCCAGGGCCATAATCAGCAGCCGAAGCGGGACGCTTCCTTCTCCGTCGGTCAGGATTTGACGCAACGTTTCGAGCGATTAAGCGCCACCTCATGACGCCACTTTACTCTCTAACCGCAATTCCGCGTTAATTTAAATTATACAATTAGATCTAATTACAGGGATATTTATTTTAAAGTTTATACATGTGAAGTTTTCTAAACAAATCGAGATCTTGGTATCCTAAAATTTCTCACATTAAGCAGAGAATGTTTATATTGTTTTACATTAAAACCGAAGATGTTCGAATTGGTAATTCGACGATTACCAACCTTAGTTACGCATTACATAACTTTAGCGGACACCATTGTCGACATTCCAAAATTTTTACTCAAAATCTAATTACTCCTTACGTCCTTAAATGACGTTATCCTTTAACATAAGCAGTGTATTTCAAAATGTTTTTCTTGCTATTATAATAATAATTATTATTGTGGACTGACAAAAGTGTATTCTTAAGCCTTAATAAACAATCATAGGAAATTGTGCTATTCGTTTTATTTGCTAAAATTAATTAGTTTGGTTGTTTAACGCCACTCAATCATTTTTTGGTGCGTAAGTTAACTAGTTGAACGATCGGAATAAAGAAAATGTAACTACACTAGTCCTTTAGTTCGCGCCATCTATGAATCCTTACCTCAGTTCGACAAAGTTGCTCCTCATGCACGACATTGTCTAACTACGTCCAGGGCGCGACGAGAGATGACGCCAATAAAGCACCATCTATGGATGTTTCTTCTAACCAATTAGTTTCATAGTTTAAGGAGAGATGCCGCCACACAAAAAAAGCACGAAAAATGTTTTAATGGACAATATGCAATACACACTGACTGTTTGGAAGTGAAAAGTTTGATGCGGGATGCTGACGCTAATCGTTTTTTCGCTAAAATTTAATGCACTTGTCATGGCGCGGTAGACACTTGCTTCTATTGCATTTGTAATCGCTTTCCTTTTCGAGCAAATAGGGCTTCTGTGATGCGGACGAAGCTCTGAAAAAATTGTCATAATATAATTAAAAAAATATATATCATAATTTTCAAACCTCTCTAGATATTTAACGAAATTTTTGTACACTATTATTTTCATGTCCAACACGCATCAAAAAATGTGAAAAAATCAAATTTGTTCCAAATTCAATGGGGATTTCGAATATACTTTTCGGAGAAAGCAGTGGCGCGCCATTTTTTCTCTTTAAAAACTTTTACTGTTAGCTAAGAAAAAACAATTTCGCATAGAAAAATATCGAATGCAGTGCAGACTTAATGCAAAAGATTAAAAATCACTATTGGAACTGTAAAATTTATTAGGTATTAGCCGCCGTACTCTCAATACGTTCAACATTTTTTGCTACTAAAAATGTGTTACCTACCAAATCGCTTCAAAACGACATCGCAAATATACATAGCAAATCTCCGTGAATTAAACCCCATAGAATTGATATGGGCGCAAGTACAAGTATTTCTAGCAAGACATAACACCACTTGTAAAATGAGAGACGTCAAACCCTCTTGCAACGGTGAATAAAGCTGATTATATGCTGTCATAACTGTAAAGCCCCTTAATGTTTCCCTAGTCTCTAACGATTATGGATCGTCCGGCTACTTGGACTTGATGACTAAAATTGACAAATGAGGTATTATAATTAATTTTTAAATAATATTTTTTACAATTTTACTAATATCATATTTTATTCCTACTTAAATTTTTTACTTAACATTGAAATCATAAACACGTCAATTATCTGCCCATCTCCATAATTATAATCATGTATAATTATATTATATTTTTATTGACTAAACTCGTCTTTATGCGCAAATTAGGGTGAGGCTAATTTAGGAATGATTCGAAGTGTGTAGGTCTTGAAAAATGAAATAGGAATTTACATTCAATTATTCTATCGCATTAAAAAACGAAATTCTAGAGTGGTTTGAAGATTAGAAATAAAAAAATAGTTTTTTGTTTTCTTATTATTTGGTTATATACGAAACTGGATCTTGTTTTCAACGTAGACTTATTTGGTAAATTAATTTCGGAACACCCGGTCTAAGTGGTCTCGCAGTAGATAGCTAACCACTTATTAACTAGTTTATTGATACCGAAAATTGTCGAAAACGCTTTGAATCGAACTTTTGAAATTTTCCTCGAAATGTGTTCAGCGAAAACAACCTCAATTACCTGTCAAGGTCGAGGAAACATTTCCGAAGTTTCGTTTTCATCATCGCGTTGTACGTGGTGTCGTTGGAAAAATCAATAATGGGTTTGGGATTTTTATTCGCCAGTTTAACCATATGTCCTAACAGATGTTTCAACTTCTCTAACGACTCGCCCTCGTCATCAGTAAAAATCTGGAAACTTACAATCGTGGCGAACCCAAGCGTGGTGTTAATTTTTTTGGTCCGAAACTAACCAGGTCCCGAAAAAGACCGGGCGTCGACCAATGAAGATCCAGTAAATATTTCCGCGATTCCATAACAGTTTTGAATACGGTCCAGAGTTTCGAGCTTTCAATACCTAGCGATGAAAATCAAAAAAAAATTCCTGTATTTATAAATTTTTTTTTAAACTTCTTAGTTAACCCAGCTTGCGTATAACAGTACGATAAATTTTTAAACCTTGAAATTACTAAAACTATCCTCTGTAAGCAGCAAAATGATTTTATCCGTGAGTAGTAACTATAACTCACTATTTTTATCACTAATTTATCCTTATCTAACTAGTAAATAACTGTCATTATGTTTTTACTATAATCATTGTTGATATACATTTTTCACACTCCCAGAAGTAAGTAAAGTTTGAAAATTGTAAAACTCTGTATCCTACCGGAATCAGTATAAGTAATATACTCTACATCTTTCGCCTCTTGATGGCGAATGCTCGGTAAGTTTGTGAGAAGGTCATCGAATTTGGCTACGCTTGGTTCCGCAGACTGTTTACTTTCGATAGACGATCGTCGACCAACGTCGCCGTCGTCACTGAACGAAACGCATTTCTTGCTAGATGTTAAACTAACTGTTGCCTAAAAAATATACAACACTAGACGCTGCAAAATTCTACCATGTAATACCTAAAATAAAATAAAAACCGCAATTCTTTGAAGCCCGTTCATTTGTTATCTAGACACTGGTGCAAACTTCCTAAATTAAATATTGTAGACGCTTCCTTTTGCGAATAGAGGTGGGAGATCTGTAAGCAAAGGGTTTTGACAACCTGACTTAAATAGCATCAAGCAAAGGACATGGTACAGGGTGGCCCGTTTAAGACGGGCGTATACCTTATCTCGAAACCTGCAATACAATTTCCACTTTTTTATATACAGGGTGGTAAAACAAAGTTTTTTTTTAAATATAACGCTCTACACCTTATTGCATTTTTGGATAGCCCTTTCAAAGAACAATTCAACGATACATATGAGTATCGGTCTGTCACGTACCGTTTCGAACTTATTAGCGATCATCTTCAAAATTCGGGTTATGTTTAAACCATCAATGTTGGGTTGTCTATTAACTTTTTAAACTTTTTTCCATCTGTTATTTTCACGAACATAATGCTTTTTTTAGGCAATGATCAAATTTAAAATACGTTGTGTGTGTATATGCATTTCACCACAACCTTCCAATAGCAATGAGACCGAAAGCAATCCTAGACTTGCGACTGTGGTCCTTCCTTACATTCAAAACATCACTGACCACATATCAAAAGTTCTAAAGAAGTATAACGTCAAAACCAGATTTACCAAAAATCTCTCAAAATCTTCGGTCCGTCAAAGACAAAATTCCATTTGAGATGCCAGGAGTTTACAGCATTCCATCCATATGCGGCAAAGAATACATTGGAGAGACCGGACGAAAAATATCAATTAGGCTCAAAGAACACGAAAGAGCCTTACGACTAAGACAAATAAACTTATCAGCTGTTGCCAAACACACTCATCAAACCGGACATAAAATTCTATTCGACAATACTAAAAGTGTTGCAGTTCTTCTACCAACGAAAAATCCCAGAGTCTATAGAAATCTATAAACAACCTAACAATCTTAACCGCGACTTAGGTCTCTACCTGTCATCAATTTGGGAATTAGTCATTCGATACGGTGTTTATGCCCCTTATTAGCGCCCCCCTCAAACAATATATAAGCAGGTACAGAGTAAAATAGGACCCAGTTTCAGTCAAGCTCTGAACAAGCCAACAGGATGATCGGCGAATTGGGAAATTTCGACTCAGCAAAAACCGACGCAGCAGGAATCCAGAAGTTTTGTAAAAAGTATTACAGTAGCCTGTGGAAGTTTCTTTGAAAAATATGGCGGGTGTTATCACCTTTCCTTAAGATGTAGAGCAAAAACCATTTAACGAAAAAAAATTTTCTCGGCTTTACAACAGTCTCCATTTTAGCTACCTGCAATATAAAATTATTTATCAAAAAACGGGATTTCGAATTCAACAATGCGATTACACCCCCTAGCGGTCATTCTAGAAACAGCATTTTCTCTTGGCCACTTTATAAGATTTTTAACCCCAAGTCTTTAGGACAATTACTTTTCAGGGCGGAGTGTCCTTAATTGGCCATGTCGCATATCGGACTCAACGATAACATTACGAGTGAACGTCCCTATAAAATACACACTTGCTACATACTTGGTTAGAGATCTTCCGCGCCGAGTTTACGTTACTGGACGTGCTCTTTTTCTGTATATCCTCAGACATCGACAGCCTCTGTCGATACGACAGGGCGGACCTGCTCGCAACACAATATTCATGGCGCATCAATGCTCGATTTCAGTTTCGTACCATTCGGATCCAAACCACCGCCACAATTGCAGACACTCGCTGTCCATGCTGCCTCCGACGCTTTTGATCTTCAATAGGAACCTCTGGTATTCCCACAAACAAATTTCTTCTATCAAGTCATCGAGCAGCGATCTGATCTCCCTTTCGAGAATCAAGCGGCTGCGTTTTGCGTGTTCTTCTAGTAAATTTCGATCCGGGTCGGACGTTTTCACGAGCACTTCAGTTTCCAAATCGCTAAGATTGGAAGCTGACGTTAGATCCAAAAAGCTTGTACCCACAGAGAAAACTAATAGCGTGATGGATTACACGCGAGCACGACCAATATTGTATTCTGTGACGAGAGTAATTGGCGCGCAATTATACTTTGCCTGTAACGCAACTCAGGAATAAATTTCCGTCTTTACAACATTTTAAAGCGAAATCCCCGGTTGATTTAATATTGTTTGGTTTTACACTGTGTGTTTTCGTATTGTTTGGTTTGTGCCAGATGTGTGTTAAATGAAAGGTCTAAAGGATTTTCATTTAAAACTGGTTTTTCTAAAATTAGGATTTCGTTTCCAATAATTTGGTATTTATTTAGTTTCCAATTTCATTTGAATTTTTATTTGTATTAGTTTTCTCTATGAGTTTAACCGCAACAGCGTTACCTTACATTACTGAGTAGGAATAGCGGCGTTTAAGAAGAGCCATATGTGCGTTTTGGGTACTAGGCAGTGCCAGCACTAGCTTGGCGTTTAAAAATTTGGTTTTCAGCACTAACGCTGCCGTCAAGTCAGTTCGCAGCATCAGCACGCGGCTTGCTGATTTTTCGAATTCCTGGTGCGCTGTTCGAAAGAAAAAATATGCATTTACAAACGGGGTGACTCGTCGTGGTCGATGGCCCATTGGCAGTCTTTTTCTCCTTGGATAGCGTTTAAATAATAGACAAAATAAAAAAATAAACAGATAACTGGATATATAAACAGAGATGGAAGAAAATTTGGCAATTTAATATTTTAGACTCTCACCAATAACAGAATTTCAGGAATTGTAAGTTGGTGTTGCAGCGCCACCTATACTTTTTCGGCGTCGTCACAATATATTTTTTGTCATAAAAAAAATGAACTCCGGGGGCCCCTTACACACCAATGGTGTATCAGAACTGTGCCGGATTAAGTTTAGACGGTGGTGCACATACATAAAACTAAGAGTTCTTAAATGTTTATGCACTGAAACAAGAAATTGTGTAATAAGTAAGAAAATGAAATCAAAGGCATCTATAACACAAGAAGGAATGAGACATGGGGTAGTTTGAGCCGTTTACTATTCATAATTTATATGGACGATCTAATTTGAATGGCAGAATAGCGATCAACCTATCAGCATATTGGAATTTTGGATCATAGCAGGAACTTCTAAGGAACTTTAGGAAAATCTAAATAATTGGGATCAGATACTGACAAAAAAACGGAACGAAAATTAACATAAAGGTATATCCAGGTAATACTTTTTACAAAACTTCTGGATTCCTCCTGCGTCGGTTTTTGCTGAGTCGAACTTGCTGACGGTTCGCCAATCATCCTGTTGGCTTCTGTAGAGCTTGACTGAAACTCAGTCAGTCAGTCAAGCTCTGAAGAAGCCAAGAGGATGATTGGCGAAACGTCGGCAAGTCCGACTCAGCAAAAACCGACGCAGGAGGAATCCAGAAGTTTTATAAAAAGTAGTTCTTAAAAACTTACCCAAACCATAACGGTGGCCGAACATTTCGCTGCATGTCAGAAATTCACCATTTTTTAACATTTGCTCAAAATCCCACCCGCTAACGAAATAGTATTCGATTCCTTCTGTCTCTCCGTCGTATTTCGGTCTTGTCGTGTGAAGTATTCCCATTTCGACTCTTTAAATTTAATTTGGGTCACCATATTTCGGTTACTCGAAATCACCCTATAGAACTCACATTCGGTGAATTGTACGAAATTTTTTGCAAATGGCATTTCGATTTGACCCGCACGGTCCGACTAGCACGATTACGCCCACGGGAGACCGATCAAAAGGGAGAATCGAGCCCCACACCACGGGTTCGTTGAATTGTTCCAAAATTAGCAATTTTAACCTCTGGTTGGTTGCGCCCCGCGGCACACCCGCCCTTTGCTCGTTGTACTTTTGACGCCAATACTCCGAATGGATCTTCTCGTTATCAAGCGTCACCAAATTTTTAATGTTAGTGAAGCACACCTCCAAATATCTAGAATAATTATTCGGAGCCAACACTCAACAGGATTATCAAAAAAATTAGTAAGGTCAGCTTTAATTTTATCTACAAAAAAATTATTTCCTCGAATTCAGGGATAACACTTTTATTGCAATGAAAAATAGCGAAATACTCATAATATCGACAAAACAATTAACATCAATAACAAAATATGTATATCTAAATTTTCTGTTGAAACGCCAACTTTATTTATATTTAAAATGTCAATAATAATACTCCCACTAAAATCTTTGCGTTGTAATGCATAATACTTCATCGCATAGATTCAAAGAGTTTCGTTTCCAATGTTTTGAAAATAAACAACGAAACATATCAAGCATATAAGTTTTTTGTCCACTTTCTGGAGACACAAATAAATACACACACAATAACGCGTTTTACCACAAACCGAAACTCAATTTTAAAATAAAATTGAGTTTCGGTGTGTGTTAGTACAGTGCCGAAGGTTCCAGCCAAGAGTTTGTTACACAAATAAAGGTTCAAGCCTTTTTCTAAATACCATTCCACCAATGATTGTGATATTTACGTACACAACAAGAATGATATGAACCAAAGCTTTTAACACTATATGTATTTTGAAAATGACCGTTTCAATCTTCCGAACGAGGTAATTAAGAAATTTAAAATGATGATAAAAAAATTTGATAAAGACCCGGTGTTGTTGAAACAATTGTCATGTCAAAATATATAATTTCGTGAAAATCTGAACTTTTAGTTCTTATTTATTTTGATAAATGGATTTCCATCAAGTAAAAGCCTTCTCAGTTCAAATTTAAAATGGCAAACCTGTTCAATTTGGATACGGGATTCGAACTTAAATTCAACGTGACCAGGTATTTTAAGTTCCTCAGGTAGCAAATATCCAAAAGTTGACTGACGTGATTGTGCGTAATCTCTAGCGTCTCCAAATTTTTCACTCTCTGGAAAAACCGCAGACTTTCCAACAAGTTGTGAGATAGGTTCAAGGTTCGGAGATTTTTTAGCGTAAAGAGACCGCGATTTTCATCCTCGTGACACTCTGATATGTAGTTGTTTTGCAAATAGAGAAACCGTATTCTCATATTATTCAAGTTTTCCACGATCTCGATGATGTTATGGGACAAATCCAAAGTTACTAAAAACCTAAAACGTATACCGGTAACGGGTAACGGAGAAACATACCGTAATGGCAATAGTCCTAGAAATTTGAAACAAACATTTAATGAAGTAAATCGGCCAAGAGAAAATGCTGGATATTATTTTCAAGTTCTTGCAAAAATTTCTAATATGCTTGAAGTGACTATTATTTTAAAACTTGCATGAATTTAAATGATTTTCTCTGCAAGGAAGATGTCATATCTCCAAAAAGGCTTAACGCATTTGAATAAAATCGGAGTCGTTAAAAAGGGTGTATTGCTCGGTTTTCGGATGTCTTACATTCATGATGGCATCCAGGCCAAAAGGGATCGCATATGGCGTGTGAGATCTGGCCATCATCTTATGACTAATTATTTAGAAGTTTATTCCACTGTATGAATATGTAAATAAAATTGACAAAGACAAAGGCATCCTTTAGGAATTTTGAATTATATTTACTTATATTTCTAAGCTGGCCAAGTTGATTGCAAATAAAAAAAAAACAACAATATCAGCAAAAGAAATAACTTGAAATAATGTCGCATCTTTGGGAATGTGTTTGTTCTTTTAGCAAAATATATATGTATTTTCTGTTGTTGTTGTTGTTCTGTTATTCTAACCTAAAATACGAATAAAAGAACTTAATGCGCAAAAGTTGGATTGGATTGGAGTTTTTGATTTTTATGGACCACATAAAGCGCTAATTTATTATTTAGGATTTTTTTTATCACTAGCTCGGTTACTAATAAATTGTTGGCGACTAATTAATTTGTTTAGCTATTTTGAGTGTTAAGTTCTTTAAATCATCTTTTATATTAGGAAAGAGATATTGTATGGCGTTTTTACTAAGTTTTTGGAGTCTTATTTAACTATCAAATAACATTAAAAATTATGTCGTTCTACTTTTTCAGAAAATTAAGTTTATTCTAATCATGGTAGAAAGCGCCACCTGGCGGTAAGGTCAGCCATCGCTATCGCGTGACACAGCAAGAATGATAGCCTAGGAACAACTTTAGCATGCTTCGAAACTAAAAGAATTTCCAGCATTTATTGTTTTTCCGCACCTCGTCGCCTTTATTGGGACAAAAAACATATACCTACTTTAAATTCTCTAGTCCGTCTATGTATTTGATATTGTTGTGTGCCAAAGACAAATCGACGATAGACCAAAAATTGCTGAGATCGGGAATGGACTTTATATTATTGTGGGACAAATTAACGCTGCATAAAAATTGGGGGCTCTTAAAATCTAGCACCGTTTCCAACGAGTTGTGAGACGCGTTCAAATACTTTAGGAAAGGCAGGTGCCCCAAGGAATTCAAATCGCTCAGCTGATTGCCAGAAATGTCCAAATATTGAATGTATCCGTAACATTTTAATAAATTTATATCGTGCAGGTTCTACAATGGTTACCCATAACTTACAATAGATGAATAAAGTAATTTAATTTTACCAGATTGCTTAAAACGCATTTAACTAAGGCATGACGTTTTAGCTCCGGACATTGCTCTAAACAGAACAAACTCCGAGCCATAAGATTTTTCGATAGCGCGCCCTCGTTATTTCGACAGCCATTTTGGTCTCCTTTTTCGGCGAAAACCCCCGAGCATGGCCAACGTTTATTTGCGAATCTGTGGGAATCCCACGGCCCTAAAAAATCAAAATCTAATCGAGTCGATGAAGTTTGTAACGCAACGAAATTTACCAGCTTCGCCCTGATGATATTTAGTCAACGATGTTGGAAAACTTGCGTCATCACTCAGCGATTGGGTTATGGCATTTAATTCCGATCCTTCCAAAGTTGAGGAGATTGATCGATCAAAAGTATCGGTTTCCGAAGCCGGAATGTAGTTAATCATAGACGGGTTTAAGTAATTGGCCATATTTTTGCAAATTGCAAAAGGACGGTGACGTTGCCAACGCTATGGATTGAGCGGACGTCATGCACAAGGGTAATACATAAGTTTGTTGAGGTTGGCACTATTGGCTAGTTGGCGAACGCAGCGGTCAGGAAATGGAAAGTAACTTGTGAATAAAAGAAGTGATTATCGAATTATGTTTATCGTCAGTCAAAACGGTTGTTCCCTTGGCTGGTAAAAATTAAAAGAAGAAGAAAAATTACACCTTCCTGAAGCTTGGAGTAAGGTGGTGGAGCATTGCACACGGCGGTTTAACCTCCATTCGCTCCCTACAGAATCCTTTGCAAATTTTGGATATTTTTCTTCTTCGTATGTGTTGGTCATTGTCCATAAGCGAAAATCCTCGACGGAAGTCGGCAATGGGCAAATGATCTTAGTAGTCTCGCCCAACAGTGTTTGTGAATCGTATAATTAACTTAACTTACTCCATTTTAATAGTCTGTGTCTGAAGTGGAGATGGTTAACCGGTTAACCATCTTTATTGTGCAGAATGTAGAACGTAATCTACGTCGCCAAAATAGCAGCAAATGAATTAAAATGAAACATATCTCAATAAGCCTGGATTCTCAAAAGTTTATAAAAATTCAATTAAAAGCCAAATAAATATTTTACACATATATATTTTAGAAACTTTGCGCAAATAAATTGATATTGATATGTTCCGAATCTGCATTAGGAAGGTAGACTACTTAATGAAAAACTTTGACAAAATTTTGATTTAATCGTAGATTTTAGGTTCAAAATCCAAGATATGTATGCGAACATTTTCTAATTTAACAAAAGTTCAATTTAAAAGTGGAGTGAGCGAAATAAAGCTGTGCGACCTGAAATCTCGGTGCGGTCTTTACGCCTAATTTTACGTGCTATAATTTATTAGTGGATATTCATTTTAGTAACTCATTGTCGATAGCGATGATGCAAAATTTAATCAATAACATAACTGAACATCAAAATAATGAAATTGTTAGAGCTATCGTTATATCCGCGGAAGGTCCGGTATTTTCAGCGGGCCATAACTTGAAGGAACTGGTAATCCGTATTTTCAGATTTTGAAATTAAGAAATAATTTTAATTATAGTTGATGATTTAAGGCCAAGGGTCGTGAAACTCAAGAGAATGTCTTTAAGTTAGCTTCTCAGTTGATGTGTTCATTAATCGACTGCCCTGTTCCAGTGATAGCTAAAATAGATGGAATGGCTGCCGCAGCTGGCTGTCAGCTAGTGGCGCAATGTGACATTGCAGTCTGCTCCGAAACAAGTGCATTTTCAACTCCAGGGTAAAAATTGTTTTCTTTAACCAAACACTGCCTCTTTGAGGAATCATTATAGTGCAAATTTTGGTATATTCTGTTCAACACCCGGAGTAGCATTGGCGAGATGCGTCACAAAAATGTCAGCTTTGTATATGTTACTCACTGGTTTACCAGTGAAAGCCAACGAGGCAAAATCCATAGGCTTAGTTTCCAAAGTGTGTCCTAGCAACCAATTGGATGAGGAAATCATGTTTATTTGTGATGCCATCAAGTTGAAAAGTCGAAGTGTCATCGAACTAGGCAAGAAGTTCTATTACAAACAAATTCGCGAAGACGTGAAAAAGGCATATACCCTTGGAGAACAGAAAATGTTGGAAAATTTAGAATTAGACGACTCCAAAGAGGGTTTGAGGAGCTTTACTGAGAAAAGGAGGCCAATATGGAATTAAGATATAATTCAATATAGTTTTTAGGATTCTTTTTTGTTTCAAATAAAAACCAGTGTTTATGAAGTTTTTTTTTATTAGAAACATAAAATATTTGCTTTTGTAAATATCAGTACTTAATGCAAAACTTTGTAAGTTAATCCATTGCTAGCATCCAAATATTGCATTAGGTAATGAATTAAGAACATAATTAATCATCAGTGAAAACTTCATTGTAATAAGGGAAACCTATAGGTTTATATATATTTTGTCCTAGGACTTTATTTTTTCCCCAAGGCCTTTTGAGTTTGGGCCGTCTTTGCTTTTACAGCATCTTCCTTTTCTAAAATATTTTGAAATTCTATCAGTTCAATTTACATTGTTTAATTAATTTTCTACCTTTTTGTTCTGCTTCCCTCCGTTTCTTAGCCTCTTCCCGCTGTTGCCTAATGATTGCTAACCTGGCCAAGTCAGCCCGTGCCTGATCCGTTTTACCCTCTGCGTGCAACTTTTGATAATGGGCATGTGCCTTTTGCTTCTCTATTTCTTCCCTTTCCCTCCTCGAAAGCTGTGGTTTATGTAATTCGTCCGTTTTTAATGTGGATACCTTTTTAACTTTTTTTTGTACCCTATTTGGATTTTCTATTTCTATTAGATTTGATACCCCTTTCGCCTTCTTCAAGTAAAAACAATTACAAAACAATTGTCAAAATATGATTTACTTACTCCCGTATCTTCTTCGCTGCTCTCCTCGCTATCGGAATCGCCGCTGCTACTTTTATCGTCTTTTTCTTGTTCACTTTCTTCACTACTTGAACCGCCCTGTTGCTTTCTCCAGTTCTTCTCTTCGTCCCGTCTACGTTCTTCTTCGAGTTCTTCGGGATTCGTAAATCTCCGATTACGGCCCTTGTGATTCGTGAATTTACCTTCAAATATATTTTTAAAATTGCGAGACGGGAAAATAAATAGTCATCACCTCGTGGCATTCTTAAACAACGATATCTAAATAATAAAATTAGATGGGTCCGTTATCGTCACGACAACTTTTGCTTTAAACAACGTAAACAATTAGCCAAAATAATTACAGCGAATATTATTTTTACTTAATTCCTCTTTATTATATTTTGACAGCTTTCCTTCGAAACGAAGTCACAGACAGACTGCCTATTCTGTGATAAAGTCACGCTGCTTCATAGATAAAAGGATGTGGAAAGCATTGAGTTTCTTTCCCTCTCGGCAGGTTTCGGCCGGCCGGAAACGGAAAAGTCTCATTTACTACATTCTGTTATAAACCTTCCAACCTAAATATTATATAGTATAGGCCTATATTTCATCTTGTCGTACTATATACTTTTGAAAAAATACAGTACGCAAACATATTATATTTGAACGACAAACATCGAATACAAATGAAACTAAAATGTTCTGCAACAGGTCCATAAAACTTGAACACATTTTTTTCATGTATCAGAACATGCTTATCCTAAATTGCTGAAATTTGTTGCATTTTTGCTCTTTATTCTTGCCACGATAATGATCTAAATTGACGCTAGACAAGAAACCGGTCGTTTTCAATTCATAAAAAACGAACTTTTAATAAATACCATTTGGAAATTACATCTACATACAGAATAAAAAGTTTGTAATGCAGTCAGAAAAACAATATATTTGAAATTAAATGCATATTTAAGTAATTGAGGCGTAACTATATTATTTTCATCTTTAATTCTCAAAATACTTATATTTCATTTGAAAAAAAGTTGGCAATCTTAGCGTTAACATGAGTTTAACTGAATTGATTGTCAAAAAAAAAGCAATTGTTTATAATAACTATGTAGATAATAAATTTTAATTTTAATATCTTTAATCTATATAATTTGTATATAATAAAGTGTAATTTTAATCCAGAAACGTACATTCCTGGTCTGAAACGCTCTTGGGGTAGAGCTCGCATAACAAAGAAGAAAAGCAGGCGCTCACCGCATCTTTCCCATTTATGACAAAAGCCAGATTGATAAGTTGCCAGCACAAAGAAAGCGGCGACTTCCGCCGGAGGTATCCAAAAATACACCACGATACGATGCAGAAACCGCCCAATTTCGAAAAACCTCCGCAGTGTGGTGGCTACTCTGCGAGCACGTGGTCGCAATGTTGAAATCGTTGTTTCCTTGGAAACACAACAAAACAAAACGGGCTATGGCAGTACAACAAACGATGGAGGAAGGTGAGTGTCAAATATATTTTATCGACGCGATTTGTTTGCTAAAATCCAAAAAGATGTGGGAAAATTGCATGATCGTCACTCCAGGTCGGTAAATATTTTTCGTTTTGGGAAAGGTTTGTCGCGTTTACTTTGGCAACTGTGAGAATACATCAGATGGTCCACCTACCCGCTTGTCAGGTCTTTCGTTGGTGTTACACGTTAATTGAATCGGAAATAAGCGGACTCTATAAATACGATTAGAACGGAGACCGAACGCGGAAATGTAATTTTTAATTGAGTACTTTCGTTGATAGATGAATTTTGTCTAAATGCCAGGCGATCGCTGTAATGTAACTCCGGACTTTAATTGTTATTTTTAACTTTTATTTTTGTATTTTGATTGGATCGAATTCCCTTTCCTGGTTTTTAAGGCTCAGGAGGTGACGCTTTTCAAATGTTACGATCTCAAACCTTTCGAGTGGGTATGATTTTTCACGACTTGTTCACCTTCATTTGCCTTAAAAAAAGATATAAAATATTTTTGTTTCTTGTATGTTATAACGATAGCAAATAGCGTCCGTTCGAGTTCGAACGAACGTTAGAAGTATTGTGTGTTTCTCGCAAATATTTAGAAAAGTAATAAACCTCCAGGCGGTCGAACGTCTCACGTTTAATCGCCACTTACGTAAGAATTCGTCCTTGCGTTTCAGGTAATTTTAATTCATCTCACGACTACATATCCAAAATGAATTCATTAATTTGTCGACATTTTCTATGGGATGGCCATTAAAAGGGCTGAATATATGTTTAACCCTAAGAGTGATTTTTTCCGTCGGTAATGTTTTGTTTTTTCGGTGAAGTCGGTAAGTCGTTTCGAAAGTTAATTACTAGGTGTTTTTTTGTTGTAAACAAGCGGGTGGAGTATTATTACGTAGGAAGTAGAATCTTTGAATAAATTAAATATCGCGAAGATTGAATTCCGCTTTACGTAACAAATTTAGAATTTCGTAAACAGTTAAGGTTATGAAATTTCACCCTTATGCCACTTTATTAGTTATTTACGCGTTATCACGTAAAGTCTCAAATACACAGAACGCGTTGCGTTACGGTTGTATTGCATTATCGCTAAAACGTACGTGGCTTTATCACTCAGCGCTACCTTTGGAAACGGGACGTCAACTTTTCGGGGTGTACACAATTACAGAAGTACCACGTGGTACCGGCGTTCTCGGTGACTATTTTTCAAAATCATAGGGCAAAAAATTGCAAAGTTCATCGAACAGGAACAGTTATATATTTGATACCTCTCACCTGTGGGATGGTAATGTATTGAAAAAGGCTTGGAGTGACATTGCTAAATGAGCTGGGAATCACACCTTACCCAAACCTATACCACAAACAAACGGCTAACACAAGGCCGCATTTGATTGTACTCAATTTTATTTTGACATTGGGAAGTAATTAAAAAAGCGATCTTCATTGAGAGTGCAGTTCCCTCTAACTCTAAACTAAGGGCAAGATGAATCGAAAGTTTCCTTATCAGAACTACGCGTGATTCCTGTACAAATTGAACCACGGTCATGTGTGGGGCCTTGGTGAGGGACGCTGCGTTTTAACGCAAAAAAAAAAGAAAAACGGTAAATGTGTGTCATGTGTTTCATGACGAGGTACGGGAGAGCATTCGGCGTGAATCACAATCGTAAGCTTAAAAGAAATATAATTTTGCGCGATGTTTTTAGGGACGTATACTTTGTTGCAAATGCAAATGTTGAATCTTCAGTTTTCAAAATGTGCTGTACTGCATTTTTTCAACTTCCAACAATTATATTTTTAATTACATTTTTAATTAACTGAATTACACTCTTAACGAAGGAATAACATTTTCTGCTCTCATATTTGATTTTACTTGTTGTCACAAATGTTCTATGGAGTTGAATATAGGATGATATGGACAAAGACAAGCTTTGTCCATATCATCCAAGCTTTACGCCCTATCTGTTTAGGTAATATATCACCTTTTTCTTTAATGGCATATCTAACACTTCCAAAAGTTGCCCTTTCTTGTAACTGGATTCAAAAGAAATATTATATTCTAAACAATATTCTTAACATTTAGGTTTTGTACTTGATGAATTTGGTGCTTTTTGTAGCAGGCGGCTGTGATAGCTTAGGTTAACCATTTAAATGACACTACTATCCGAGTTATTTTTTAAAAGACAATTTTAAAATCCTTAATATCTTTAATATTAAATTTGGAGTAAACCCTCTTCTGATTCAGCATGAATTATGGTAATGCGTTTTCTTTATTTGAAGATGTTGTTGTCTGAAATCACTGGAATCAAACCATCCTTTGTTTTTTCTGGGTAAATTATATATTTGTTTTTGGATCTATACTTTTGAATCACAATCACAATCTGTGCGATTCCATTACCACTTGTTTTTATCTAATTTTCGGTATTTAAATTCCATTTTACAAATAACTTAATGAAGGGTGGCACGGCTAATAATTATATTGGTTTCATCTTCTTCTAGCTTCCTGTGCAAAATCCCTGTATTATTTTCAGAGCTCATCCTTCAAGAGCAAAACCTTGTCCCGTGCCACGTGTGTGGCCGGACGTTCCTTCCCAATCCCCTCAAAAAGCACGAGAAGGTCTGCGAGAAAAACGCCCTAAAAAAACGCAAACCTTTCGACTCCCTGAAACAAAGGGTTGAGGGAACGGAACTCGCGGCATTTCATCAGAAGAGTTACTTGAAAAAAACCGTCGAGCCTCAAGAACAAAAGAGATCGAGGTCAAGCAAGTGGAAAGAGAAACATCTCGAGTTGGTGACTGCTATAAGGGCGGCCAAAGGTATACCAAATGAAATGCAGTCCAGGTCACCGAAAGCAAAAAATACAACCCTTACGGAACGGTGTCCCTCTTGCGACCGCCATTTCGGACCTAAAGCTTATGACAGACACGTGGAATGGTGCACAGAGCGAAAAGCTCGTATCCAACAGTCGCCTGCCAGCGTGCAGAAAGCCAAAGAGATGCTGGAGGCCAGAATTAAGTATAGGTAAGAGCCCATCAGCATCCGACCAGCCCACGATAGAACGAGTCCATGTTAAATGTATTTTGTCGTTTTTACAGAGGTTCAAAATTAACCGTTTTAAAAAAAAATGAAATCATATTTTTTAACTGTTTTGTTCCAGAATTCAAATTATTACAAAATACTATCACTATAAGCTTACTCTAAAAGAAGGAAATAATATACATAGTACAATTCTAGCAGGTATATCATGGCAAAAAACATCTCTATTAAGTTAATAGATAGAAATTTTAATTATAATCCCTACTTTGTAAAGGTTTCTTCAACTTATTGTACATCTTCTTTGGTTCACCATTAAGTATAATCGGTGTTATACTTTTGTGCCTCTGGACACTTCCAAATATATGCCCTTTTCTGGTTCTTGCAAATGAAGTTTTCAATAGTTTTCTATTTCCGGTATTGTAGTTATGTTCATTCTGATTTGGCCTTAGTGAATATAATCCTCTTATTATGTATATATGTATATATAAAAAAAAGTCTCCAATTTGCCTTTTTGTTTAAAAACAAATTATGAACTTTACGAGGTTCACTATTTCGAGACGGCATTTGAGTAATTTACTTAGGTTGAACAAGTCTATATCTTCAAAAAGTTATTTAAAAAAAATAGATTTAGATCTAGAGGTATATTCTTTAGAAGTTTTAGATTTGTTTGACTTGACCTCGGATTATAATAAATGTTAATAAAAACAATGTTATGTATACATTATTTAATGATGGAATATATTGAGTTAATGATCACAACTAATCCTCTTTGGTATTTTGCTTTTGTATGGTTTTTCTTACCTTGTATTTATTTTTATATTTATTTCCTTTAGAGAGTATTCTAAAAATTTAAACATAATTTCAACTTATAATAATTCATTAGCCTAAAAATAAAACACAGATCCTGAAGTGTTCTACTTTTCTACACGGTAGTCAACGCATAGAGTTCACTTATCTTACTAACATTGCTCTGAAAACCATTTTGGCACAAACTAAGATACTTCGTAAGGTACCTCAAAAAATTGGTCTGTACAGCCTCAACTCGATGTTCATGAACCTGGTAAAAAGGAAACCAAATTGTTGATCCATATTCCAATATGGACGGAATATATGAATTTGACAATACATTACAAGTTTTGAAAATCACATTCTCAGTACCAGTCCCAGTATAGCCGGATTGATAAAACTCTCTAAATGATTATTATGCCTACGTCCTTTACAACATCCGCTCTGGTCAACACCTTTAAAAAAATGGAATACTGTTTCTATAAATCCCTACAAGCCTAACATTTTTTAAATAATATTTTATTCTTCATTATAATTTTTCATAGTTTCAAAAGATGATATAGGAAATATTGCCCAATGTCCAACAACATTCGTGTTATCCTTTAAGGGTTCCGCCATTGAATAAATCGAAACGCGCCCGAGTTAGGGAGAAGTACTCTACAACTCCTAATGATTCGGAGACGGCCAGCGTGAAAAGCGTCGGCTCCAACTTATCGTTGTTGTCGACCTCGTTTTCGAGGGGGCCCAGTGTACGCAAACCCAAATCGTTGGTTAACGTGAGCAAGGTTAACGATCAGAAAAATGTGGAAAAATTGGATTTGGAGAGGGGCAGCGGAGATAAAGTCAAACAAGAACACGTGAAATGCGTATTACCGGATATCGGAACTCCGGGGACCAAAACGGAACTCGCAAACAGGTAAGAGCCCCCCGATTTTCCACCTCGCGTGTCCAGGACGAAAGGAAAAGGGAGCAGAAATGGTTATTTTATTTATTTATTTATTTGTAGTCCTGCAAACACCAATAGGTATTTACAACAAAAAGAGCTTACTGATAACTAAATTTATAAGTTTATTCCTAGATATGGAATGTTCATAGATATAAGAAAGTGACCAATGCTTTTGAACGGATTAATAATTACCTTATTTAATTAATAATGTTGCATTGTATGTTAATGACCACCCTTGGATAATCCGTTCAAAAGAAATTGATCACTTTCTTATATCTGTGAATAGACCATACCTACTTTCAAACTTTTTATGGAATAATTAAATTTTTTCATTTATTCTAATAGTTAAAGTTATCACGTGACATTTGCTTACTTGTTGTCACTAAACCGCATCGTAACACTATTTAGATCTGTGTAAAGCTACACACAGTCTTCAATACTCTTAATAATCTTTAACAGTTTGAAGTGCTCTGCAAACAACAAGCTATGAGAGAAATTAATAGAATCTGGTAAATAATTCACAAAAGAGGTCCGGATTTTTTTCCAAATTTAACTTGTTGATTTCCAGGTCAAAGGTAAGTAAACAACACAAATTAAATTAGAACAATGTTCAGATTTTCAAAGTTTTTTATACTTTATGACATAAACATAAGTTTATGGACACTTCTAGATCTGCATGATCAATCTTAGGATGAGTCTGTCATTACCACGTCCAATAGATGTTCATTAAGAATAGCTTCAGTTGTATCACTAATAATAGCAAAGGCAATGTCGGGCGGTTGCTCCTTACGAAAATAATTTTTAAATTTACAGTTAATAATGTCGGTTCGTTTATTTTCTTTCCCTTTTCCTTGTTTATGTCTGTCAGTGTCCCGTCTTCCTAATTCGTCCCTTTTCCTTTTATCCCGCAGCGCATTTGCAAATGGCGCATTTATCAAAGGAAACTTAACTGGTAAAAAAATAAGCTCTGTAATTGTCAATGATCAAATATGTGATATGATTATGTCTCCGAAAATGGTCACCTGGAAGGATACCACACAGAACAATTCCGAAGAATTTGTTCCTCAGACCAAAAGAACTTACTTTCAGATGCACAAGAGAAAAACCGTCTATTTGTCGTCAAACAGCGTTAAGTCCGTACAAAATATCGCTAAAGATGTTGTAGAATGTGCCATTGATAACTCCAAGCCACAGGTGGAGAAAATATTATCGTCCAGCGATATACTTCACAAATCCAAAATCCCCACCAACTGGGCGTTCAAAAAGGTCACGGAAGTACTGAGGAAATACAAAAAAAGAACCCCGAAGCTCAAGGATGTTAATTCTAAAGATACGAAAAATAAGGAACACTGTAGTTTTACCGATATACCAGAGTCAAAAGAAGTTCGGGTGCGATCTGTTGAACCCATCGAAAAAGTTAGTGATATTTCATTTGTTGGAAGAAATTCTGAAAGCATTTCTACGGACAATCGAGAATTTGAATCGGTATATCGACAAATTTTAGACGTACGTCTAGATCTTGCCGAGGTTACCGGGTGTCGAAAGGGGGTTGAGTTTCTAAATGCAGATACTGAGGTTTTTATACCAAACCATTCTTCAGATGTCGACATGGCAAAAGAAATAAGAATTGGTAGAGCGGAGGAAATGCATTCGAAAGAAAAAGCTTCCTTTGGTGATGGAGTTTCAGATATATCAGGACTTAAAGAAGTTATGTCTTGTTCTTCCGGGGATAATAGGGTCTCACCAAATTCCAGGGCACAAATAAACAATACTGAAGCAAATGAACTATTAGCATTAGAAGGCTCATGGAAGGCTTCAGGAAAAAGACAAAATAACATGTTGTTACCCTTAAATCCCTTAAACAGCGTGAACTCCTTGACCGATGAGACTTCTGAGACTTCAGATAAAGCTAAAATGCAAAATATCATGTGGCAACCCTTAAATCCCTTAAATATAGACAAAAGGCAAAATAACGCGTGGAAACCCTTAAACAGCGTTAAATCTTTCACCGGTGAGGGTCGTGAGACTTCAGATAAAGATGAAAGGCAACATAACATATGGACAGCCCTAAATCCCTTGAATAGTGAGAGTTCTGAGACTTACCCGTTCCGATGTCTGTTTGAAAAAACCCTGAACGTTTCCAACAAACGGTCCTGTTCCGACGTAGCTCTAAACAAGAGCAGCAAGAATTCGCTGGTCTCGATTTACTTAAATAAAAGGGATGGCGACTCGGAGAGCATCGAAAACGTTACCGCTAGCGGGTCGCTTCCGAATTTGAGTTTAGAATATTACAACATTGAAAAATTCAGAGAACATAGAGTACAAAAAGTCAAAACGGCAGCCCATACGGCGAGCGACGGTGGTGAAAACTACAGCGTTCCTAAAAAGAAAATGAGGTTATGTTCGAGTAGCACAAGTTTGACCCTGTCGTTTAGGAACGAAAGCGCGATGTCAAAATGTTCGGCGACTTCAGCTGTTTCCCCGAGAGTTCGCGAATTGGTCGGGAAAATTTTGAAGGGCAGGAGCCTCAGGTCGGACGACAACGAGGTGATTTTGGGAATTACCCTTAGCGAGTGCGAAAAATTGATCCGAATGAGCGGCGAGCAATTCGCTAGAGTTGCGAAAAGATTCGCGAAAGATCGAGTTAAGTTGCCTTTGGTCGTCGTGGACGGAGCAGAACGGTCGGTAACGAAAAGAGACGAAGGAGTTCAGGTGGAAATCGAGTCGAAAGGGGTGGATTTTAAGCTGCCTTTTATCGGGAGCACGCGCAGACATAAAGAAACTAAGGACGACAGGTGACGGTGCGGCTTTGAATATATTGAATCGGTTGATATTCGTTACTGCAAGCCAGGAGCAGTAACGGAGGCTATTGGTAACCCAAGAAACACCATGATTGTAAATTATTAATGCTCGCACTTAAACCACTTTTTATTATAAAGTCAAGCTTTGGCTGAGTTTGCAGGCTTGCATCAGAACGATGACTATGTCTGTAATACTTTTACTACTTACTGCTTTGCCCTCCTAGAGGATGACTTCTTGGAAGTCTTTCTGATGAGATGTGGTACTGGGACCGTACCACTGGCGCAAGTTTTTTAGCCACGATGTTCGCCGGCGCCCTGGACCACATTTGCCGTCTATCTTTCCCTGGATGAAAACCTGCAGTAATCCAAGCCTCTACTTCGTAAAGAAGGGCGTTAAAACAACGACGGAACAGATGAACACTTAGGGAAATATTCAAATGTCTAGTGGTCTGCAGGTTTATAAAAGTCTGTATGGACTGTTTTGCGTTCTTGACATTGAGTTTGAGTTCTGTAACTGCAGTCAAAAGTTCTTGTACGTTTGCAATGTTGGTGGCCAGCAAGACCATGTCGCAAGCATATCGTTGTTGATTACAGTTCCTTCAATCACTACGATCGACCTCGAAAAAGAAAAAGTGTAAATAGGGGGGGAGGAGGCTGCATATTTGAATCAACGGAGGTATTAACGGCATGTTAATCGTCCTTACCAAGCCTGAACACCCCTGCGAAAGCTCGACTTTATAATAATTTACCCGCTTCCTCTACCATAGGGGTGGATCCCTGTTAGCGTTCGTTGGATATTCATTACATTCGTAATGCTGAGATAGAATAAAATAGATATATAGAGACTCCACTTAAGGTAATAATAGTCCATTTCGTAAGTAACGTTGATACATATCAAGTAGGGATGCTCAATACGCGCAAGCGAGAGTCGTTTGTGGTTTGACAGATTTGACGGATGTCATCGTCCGAGCTAGTGTGTGGACACTGGCGTTTAAAACAAAAATATGCAAAGTGCAGATTATTGTGTCGACTTTGTTACGTTTTTTACCTACATCTACCTACATCTACATCAAAAGGCTGCGGAACGCCAAAGGATGAGTCATCACATTAATGGAGAGATATATCTAGTCGCATAGCGTTCATAATATCAAATTTATAGGTGAAAGAGAATAAAAAAAAATACGTTTTAACTGCTTGATATTAATTTAACATTTAAAATTGAATACAAATATGTACAATAGGTAAAGATAGATTTGATAGAAATTGATACAGAGGCGGTGCATAGGTATTTTAAAAAATATATATTTTATTTCTTTTTAAATGAGTCGCAGTTCTGGGCGAGGGTACGATCAAGGTTTCAGAGTTTCTAAAAAACTTATATTGAGATATTGGCTGCAGTATAAGCATATTTCCCAAGAGTACTTAAAATAGTCTATACTTTTTCTATGTTGTTATCTACTATTAGTATCTTTCGGGTTTAAATTTGAAAATCTAACTTCGGTAATTATTTTTTCAAGCAGATTTATATCACTCGTCGTATCATTTCGGTGTGACGCTGATTGACTGACAAATAAAAATTCTGTGACACAAAAACGCGACATTTGAACTTAACTGTATTTACATAAAAAAAAAATGTGTTTTTTTGACAATTTTTCAGGTGCCAGCAATTTAAAGTCTATAATAAACTACTTATTTTTGCAAATGCTTCTTCAAAATTAGTAAAAGATATTTTGAGTATATGTTTTTTTGCGTTGTTACTGAAGGACTTTCTCTGACAACGTTCGGGCTTAGACAAATAACTCGGACAACCAGGTAAAACTGAAAATACTGCACCTGCAGCGGAGATGATATTAGCACTGAATAAAAAAATATATAAATATAAAAACCACTTTTGATCGGACGAGGTGTTTTTCACTTAAACGTTAGTACTTCTCCAGTTTTTTCGCCTCTGCTTGTGAGAATGAGAAAATTACCACTTATAGCCCATTCTTATATAAAAAAAAATAGTAATACACCAAATGCAAGGCTTTATAATTTTTACAATCACAGTGTGCAGTTTAAATAGGTATTATCTCTCACACAAACGATTATGGAAATATCATCTTATACACACATTAATTCTGAGACTTGTAATGATGGGCGAACTATTCACACGTTTTCGCAAGTACTGTTCCTTTAATTTGTCACTTTTTCTGTATCGAATATTTATTAGAAAAATTAACGTAATGGAAACGTATAACCTTAAAAGCGACATCTATCTTCCCATTTCGTGGTGACTCACCGATTGTTTATAGATTTTCGTTTCTCCGTTTTAAATGTAGAGGTCGTTTTGCTTTTGCCTGTATCTGTGTATATCATCAAACTCAAAGAATACACAATTCAATTATGAAATCATTAAAATTGCAACCTGAACTACAAATCAATTAGGGTCTTGATTTGAGTTTTTATATGACAGAATGGTTAGTATGAAGGTTGGGGAGAAATGTATTCAGTACTTTTTCGTTTTCTCGTATTATTTTTGAATTTCAAAATGGCAATACTAACTTCCGGAAAATGATTTTAATTTGTTTATCTTTGAGGGCTCGCTATGTGGGACAGTGCTAATTTCCGGCAAGAATGTATATAGGAATAATCGTTCGCACATGTGATAAGCTCTTTAAGTTTGCCTGTAGGTCCTAGAGTAAAAGTAAAGGTACAAGGTATAAAAGTATCTTCCGTTTAAGAAAATACGTAATAGCTATATTGGTTTTAAAACTTTTTTTCCCGAAATTTATTTAAATAGGCACGATGCCGAAAACGTCATCATGATATCATGAAATCATAATATTTTGAGAACAAAACTCACCAAAATGCAATGAGCTAGTCATAATGGTTGTTTCCATCATTGTAAAATTAAAATGCGTATTTGAAAACGAAACTGAAATAAAATAACTAATTTTAAAGTTTATAACGGGTGCCCAATAATTAACAAAACGGTGGAATATCTCGAGAATTACACAATCAAGCATGACCCTCCCCCGCTGAGAAAATGGCTATAGGTCGCTAAAAATTTGTCCGAAGTTGTTCTACCTCTCAGATCGTAATAAATCCACCACCAATTCCACTTGGTGGAAAATTAAGGACGCCCGGTCTTATCTCGTAAAGTGATTGCCGAAACGACTGAGGTGAAAAAACTTGTGACTATTAAGGTGGCTACGAGAAAAAAACCGGAAATTATTTTTAGGTCTCTAGAAGACCGACAGGGGGTAAACGTATTCTTGAAGTTAAAAGCTTAAAAATAATTTCCAACATTTTTCTCGGTCACTTTAGACATAAGTTTTTCACCACAAGTCTTTGCGACAATTATTTTTCGAAATAGGGCCGAGTATACTTCTTGATTGGCCCGCATGTAATTGTGTATAACTTTGCAGTCCGACGCCGAATTACGACCCGTTTGATGTGGCCCAGCGTCAGTTTATGGAACTCTTAGACTCTGACAACTTTAAACCTTTCGCCCCGTTCAATTCCCAGGTCACACGGCCCCACACCAGCAATCCCAACCCGATTAAAACCCCGACTTCTCCTCAAGTCGCTCCGAAAACCGTCAAATCCGCCGACCCGATCAAAAAATATAATCGCGCTTCCGTCATCGACCCTCCATCGAATTTCAAAGACTCTCTCGATTCGGTCAATGACGATTTCGAACTGATGGAGAACTTGATCAATGAACATTTTAACGCGGACGATAAAAACTTCCACGATAACGGCTATTATTTACATAACCTTAAAAACGACAAGCGGTCTCTCACTTTAGATCACATCCTTGATAATAGAAAATATAGCGACGACGCATCGTCCATAGATCCTTGTTTGATCAACGAAAATGATAATCTGTCTATACCGGATCATTTCAAAGTTGACGATTATTCGCCGACATACACCGAAATTACCGTACAAAATGATGACGTAGATCAGTACAGCGTACAGTACGACGCAAAAATCGAGGCCATCGAGCCGAAAATCGCGAAAAAACCCATCGTTAAAAGGTCGGTTAGTCTAGTCAGTAGGAGTAAGAAAGATACCAACGCGGTCGGCAAGGTTTCCGTAAAAAAACCATCGCTCGAGTGTAAAAAATCGTCGAAATCTGTTTGCAGCGTCGACAGGGGTGAGAAAACCAAAACTTTGCCCCTGTTAAAACGATCCATAACCCTGTTCGATCCCTCCTCACCCAAAACCTCATTCAAAAATAAAAAGCAGGTCAACGAGTTGTCGGAAGAGCGAGAACAGAAATGTACGAAAAAGACGGGACACCATAATGCGAGGAGCACACCTAAGAAGGCGGTAAGTCTGTTAAAATCGAGATTGCGCTTTTTATTTTAAGTTCTCTTTCACTGCCAAAGCAGTAGCAAATGTTTACTGCGCTTTAGTGTCCTCAACGGTGTCCTATAGCGTTATTTTATGACGTCGCACATTGGGACAAAAACCCAAAAAATATCAAGTTGCAGATTAGGTTTTTGAATAGAATAACAGGCATATATTACAGTAAAATAATCATTCCTTTGAAAATAATAATAATCGATACAAAAAGAAGAATTAATTTTTAAAATATGAACCCCTAAAGTTTGTGCTCTAATTATTTTTATATTGTCGATTAATTGTTAGTTTTTAATATTTTTTCTAACGAACTATTTATTTTTCGAGATTTTTATTATATATTTTATATATATATATATTATATATTCGTTATAAATAAATATGATCCAGACTTAGTGCCAAATAAATCTATTTAATGGATTAATACAGATTCAGCTGCTAAAATTTGCCAATTTTGCTAAAATTAAATTTTATTGTTCGTATGTTATGTCTAGCTCCGCGGATCAAGTAGGCTGTTACTTCGGTATAAATTGATGCGCCGCAGGGGGCATTGATATTTTCCTAGAGAAGCCTATAATTTTCCTGCACTTCATGTTATTTTCTTTCTAACTAACGATACCCATCCACCAACTCAATCCTTTGTACCTGAAGATTCAATGAGATCTGGACATATTTTGAGAAAATATTGCCGTAAAAATGCCGCATCCAAACTTCTTGACGATATGTCAGCGGCCATGCTGGTTTAAAAATGTCGTAAGGTCATTGGTTAAAAAAAAATTTAACTATTAAATATTTTTGGATTTTTTTGAATTTGAGAATAATTCAAAAATCCATTAAGATGATAGTTTAGATTAAGTTAAAAAAATAGTCTAAAATTTTAATGACGCTGCTACTTTTCGATAAAACTGCCAAACACGGTTCCATTGAAAACATGAGAGATCATCAGAAGTCCAAAAATCTAAGCAACCAAATTTTGTATTTTCCGTAAATGTCTTTCAAATTATTCATAACTCAATGCAAATGTATTACATTTGTGTAAATGGCATTTGAGTCACGGGTTTATTTAGCACGAACGGAGCGAGTGTTTAATAAACGAGTGACTTAAAAAGTTTACCAAATGTGTTCATACTATGCTTTTTTCTACGACCGTTAGTTTTTGGGTACATTTTTGCAAAACAGCACGAATACACTCACTGACATGACCGTCAGAATTCACAAACATCAAAATGCAAGCCGAAGTGGTCCGGATCCGTAGGACAAGAAAATCACGTGGTAAAGTGACGCTTCCCGCACGCTAGATCAGTGTATAATTAGGTATTTTACAGAAGGAGGTAGAAGATTATTTAAGATGGTTTTGCAAAAATTTCTCATAACAACCCATTTGTCCCAATGTGCGCCGTGAGGATTTTCATTGAACAAAAGAGAATCCTCCGCTAAAATGCTCTGCTAATAATGCTAAGTGAAGAGAAGAAAATTTTAAAAACACCAGATATTCACGTTTATTTGCACAACAAAAAGAAACAATTTTTGTCTTCAGTCACATATTTTTTTTGGCAAAGATGAAAAAACACCTTAAAAAATTAGCCAACTTCGTATTTTTAATTTGTAATACGCCTCATTAATATGATATAATCTGTGTTTAGGTTTTGACTATATCTAAGCAAATTCGCTTCCGTTTCATTTGTGTTTTTTATTTGTATCTAAACAATTTACAAATGTTCTTAAATTGATAAAAGTATGAAAAAATAAGTAATTATAACGCATTTTATATGCAAATAATAGTTATCGTATGGTAGCTCTGCAATTCCTATTAAGGGTTATAAAAGTTATTTAACAGTTAACGTTTTTTCAGTGTAATCAAAAAATGTTTCTTTAGATGTAGTTGCTTGTGCCCTAATTTTCAAATCTACAGTATGTCCTTCTACATTGGTTCTTAATCTAGATCGCCTTTATCGCCTTTGGTAATTAGATTTTAACCATAAAACATAGTTAAAAGGGTATTATTTTATGACTTAACAAAATCGGGTTATGTAAGATAACTGTTTACTCAATCATGTATTTATATTCTTCTATTTTGCAATAGTAGTACGTACGTACGTAGATTTTTGCGGTAAGGTACGTACGTAGTACGTAGTACGTACCTTACCGCAAAAATCAGGATCTATTTTTAAAATATATACATTTATTTGTTTAGATACAGGAGTTAACCCAACCTCAAATTATGACGTCAACAGCAATGACGCGTATTCGTAACTCATTAACATGTTTGCAATTTTAAAACGCAAAGTTTTATTCGATAAAACTAAAATTCTTGCAACAATCTTAACTGGGACTCAGGTTTTTACCTGTCACTAATATGAGAATCAGTCATCCGAGACGGTGTTTATGCCCCTTAGTTGCCATTTAGTTCCGCCCCCCTCAAACAATATATAAGCAGGTACAGAGTAAAATGCGAGTCAGTTTCAGTCAAGCTCTGAAGAAGCCAACCGGAATGCAGAAGTATTGTAAAAATTATAAACCATTTACACTTGACAATTTCGAGTTAGGTCATATTTTAAAAAATAACAATGCGTTTACGAAATAAAGAATTCTATAATCAATTTCTACAATAAGAATGCGAAGTTGGCCGGTCCCACCCTAACCTTGCATTTACGGGGTGCCGTTAAATCGATGTTTTTCGAAACTGAGGTTTCTTTATAGGATACTCCAATATTGGACGCGTTTAAGGCCGAGGAGTTATTCGCCGTGGACGACGAAATGTACGAGGAGTACAAAAAGTTCGAAGAGATGTATTTGAAGGAGAAGGAGCAGAAGGCGAACCCGAGGAGAAACAAAAAGGGGCTGGATCTAAATTGCGGGCTCTTCGCGCCGTCGACCGAAGAATCCGAAACCCCGAACGTTAACGGCAAGATATCTTACGACTCGGCGTACGGGAGGTGTGTTAATTTTAAAATAAACATAAAACAATTACTTACATGAGAAATAAAAGTAACACCTAAATAGGTACAAAAATTTTAATAAATATTTGTATAATACAAAATCTTTATGGGAATGAGGTACGGGATTATAAATTAAATATTGGTTCTGCTAAGTAACTGGGCTATTTTGATCATAAGATTTTATGCACCTGATGTCATATGAACATATCATCTCTGAGCCGCCATGTTATCCTCAATAATTTCTATAACATGATAACTGGTGCTCTTTCCTTGATAGATTCGTTACAAAAAAAACACAAGTTCTATCCTCATTAAAATTTGTCAGAAAATAATGAAAAATGAAGATAAGTTGTAGGCAGTACCAAATTTTCCGGAAGCAATTTTTTAACATTAGTTGGAATAGCTTCTTGAAATTGATAAATTAGTTTTAATTTATAATGTGGTTTTTGACATATTCTATTAACATGTGAATGAAAAAAAAAAACTCATATTCTTGACTTCGTCATACGATGCAAGATTAATCAATTACTTCGATCATAATAGCCTGTTGTGTTGGCAGAATTTATTTCCAAGAGAATTTTTGGAAGTCCATGCTGATCAATTTTTCAAATCTACATTTATACAATTAATGCTGTCAGAAATATTTTGTTATGGATCTTGGGAGATAAATTTGCAGATCAACTGCCTATTTATCATAGTTACATTTACTTCTGTTGTCGGGGTGGTTCCAGGATAGAACCCTGTAGAACACCCCTCGTCACAGCTCTCTAATCAGACGTCTGCAGCCATCTGCATCAATCCAATAATATCTTAATTTGGCTAACAGAAGATCCAAGTTTAAACTATCAAAGGTTTTAGCATAGCTATAGTTGGATAAGAACTCTGAATTTTACCAACTTTTCAAGTATTTTTGAGAATGCTTATCAGTTCATTCAAACTTGAGGGCATTTCAACCCCAGGCAAGAGCCATTTTCCAAATTTTTGGAACTGGACCAGATTGTAAAAATACATTTATAATATTAACTAGTGGCTTTAAATAATAGGGTAGACAAAGTGTTAATATTTTTGTGGAAATCTGGTCCACTCCAACAGCATAACTTTTGAATGCCAAGATTTCTTCCTCAGATACTAAGTTAAAGTGACTCGTTGTCCGAGTTTACGTATTTGGTTTTGTAGTCTCACGAGGAAAACGACGAGACACAAGAGTCGATCGACGAAGTTGACGCCGCTCGATCAAAAACAGGCGGAAAGTGGCAGCTCAAGTAGTTCGGAGAACGGGCCGAACTCTCCGCTGGTCGTGTCCGATGTTTCGAAAGTGTCGAAATTTTGCCACGAGTGCGGCACCAGATTTCCGGTGTCGACGGCAAAATTCTGCGTCGAATGCGGAATCCGAAGACTGGTCTTGTGATAACTGTGCGTTTTTGTCCGCGAGCGTGAGTAACAAATCGATTGAATTTATATTTTAGCATTGAACGCAAATATTTACGTAACGGTGAGGTCCTTTACAACCTTTATATTGGCATTTATATAGGCCTTTCTAAAGTACAAAAAAAAAAGAAGAAAATTGTCAAATCGTGTTGCCCACCTTCGATAAGGAGACATTTTATAATTACGTTTTACTAACTCTCTTACCTTAATTTTTATTTCGTAGCCGAGATTTATGTGCAATTAAACGTTTATTTGTGATTTTACTTACCAAATTTGTTAATCTACTCGAATTTGTTTTTAGATTTTTTACATTGAGTGCCTCTCATATCATTCCGAATATTGTTTAATTTTGTTTTATTAACAAGACTGATAGTTTTGTTATTCGATTAACTTATTTGAATAAAACTTATTTCGTATTATTCAATGGTTATGAACTGTAAAACTTGGTGACCTCATTGTGTTTAAAGCTCTTCGCCGCCAAAACTCAACATCCGGCCAAATAATTAAAATGTGTTCTATGACTGCAATTGTTCTATGACTGCGGTTCCATCGTGTTACCAAAGAGAAGTAAATAATATCTGAAATAAATTCCATTCCACTTTTGGGTAAGAAGAATTGTTGAAAACTTTGAAGGAAATGAATTTTTGAAAAAAGTCAAACCAGAAAATCACTTTTAATAAAGAGGAAATTATCTGCTGGTGATGATAATATTTGAGAGCAGTTAGACAGTTTCAAATGGAAAACAGGAATATCATCTGGTCGAAACTTGGGTAAATTAAGGATATACCGTTGGTAAAACATCGCTGAAATTCAAGGACTGTAGTTTAGTAGTCAGAACTTGAAATATGACGACTAAAATTTAGAAATGATGTTATATTGTAAATGGCAATTTTTTTAAATAATATTATTGCAATTTATTTATTTTCATATTCTTACTAGTATAAGTTTTTATTTACTTGATCTTAGAATAATTGCAATTCATATGAACTTTATGATATAATCTTTAAGTTGTCCACCTTGTCCCTGTATTTGCAAATGTACATTTTATTTCCTTCTGGCATTAAGAAACAAAATATGAATTGTCTCATCAAATTAAAACCGAGAATAAACTCCGTGCTAGCAGATTTTCTAGTAGAGGATGTGTTGATAAAATATCATCAGTATTACGCATTGAAATTTCTCGCCACGTCACGCCACGTCCTGTTTATCTGTTCTTTAAAACTTTTAATTTCGTCTGCCATTTGTTCACCGTTTAAATGGGCGACGCATAAATAGAACAAAATTCGTTAGGCAGATTGTCAGAAATCTATGGGACCGTTATATCGTGATCTTTGTAACGAGTGATCTAGTTTTGAACTTCACTTCCAAAAGTTCGTTTGATTTTTCATTTTTTTTTCTCCCGAGTTTAAACAACTTCAAATTGACAGGGAATAGGAATCAAAACAGGTTGGGATCATTGTCTACAATTCAAAAAAGCAATTTATTTCAAATATCAGAGCTTGTATTTTACAAAGGCAAATGGCAAAGTCTCTCTACAGAGACTGATAGTTTGGATCCGGTCGCTCTAGGCTCACCACCCGATCCCAATACTTGACTGCAAATGAAAGCGTATTAACACAATTTGCTTGTTAAACTGTCCCAAAGGATGTCAAAATGCCAAAAGTTCTTGACGCGCAAAAATGTCAACCAGATTTAAAAATGTTATTTTATTTGCACTTAAACACTGGAACCACCTGTTTCCTTAGTTTATGCCGGCTGCCATTTTTTACGTGTTTTTAAGTCTTGTCTATGGCCTTTGGATATACCGGGTTGGGCAAAACAGGATCATTCAAACTTTTTCGATTTTTTTTTAAATGTCAAAAATTTTTGAATGGGAAAAACTTCTATTTAAAGGCTGCCAGCAAACTAGAAATGTTTTTTTTTATATTTATTATTGTTTAATAGTCTTCTTCTCGTGTGTTTTTGTTTAGTCTCTATTAAATACTTTTGCGAGAATTCCAATTCGGCATAAAGGAAAGGAATGGCTTAAACTTACTGCTGCAGTTTATTGTCATCCATTACTTTTTTCAAATTGTGCACGGAGAAGCGATTGTACATGCCCCAAATGCTGTTCATGTACTTACTACTATAGTTGGTGGCGTTCAAGCTAGTATCTGGAAATTTATCAAGAGGTAAGACGGTAACGCTAAAGTTTTAAACCGACTTACTGTCCCGGTAGTAATGATTTTCGGCGCTTTCCAGATTTTTCCTCACTTTTTCAGCAGCAAAAACGCCCTGCGGCACGGCAGCCATGATTTCTTCCGAAAGGCAAGCTAAAATTAAGTTTGTTTCATTCTCTCTCGGTGGTCGTTGTTATTGGTTTTTCCAATGGCAACATAAAAGTTTTCCCATTTGATAATAATGTTTTTGTTAAATATTTATTATATAAGCTTTTTCTGTCGCGGTTGGGTCACCTACTATTAACCAAAACAAGATTTGCATAATTTCTGAACGCTATTTACACCAATCTTTTAATACAAAAAAGCGCGCTGGACACCGAAAGACAAAATAACCGAGGTTAAAAAATCTATGACAGTACTTCAAAATTGTTAAATTAGTCGTTCTTTATTTCCATATAGCTCCTAGATATACAGTCTCTGCCTAATGCTGAAAATACAGGAACATATGAAGCAGCTATGAAAAAAAATTGACAAAGGCCATTCAGCATGCCCACGCGCGAGACTAATTTTTTTTTTATAACCAGTGACATCTGTGATTGCAAATTCTGGCTTTCGACCAGCAGCATTCTACAACCAACATGACCGCTGACGGATCGTCAATAAGTTTGGATGCGGCTTTTTGACGGTAGTATTTTCGCAAAATATGTCGAGGCGCCAATAAATCTTCAAGCAATAAGCAGTTAAGGTGTGGAGAGAATTGTGTAAAAAAAATGTAATTTCGTGAAAGAGCAAGAGCAAGAAATTGTACAAGTTTGTGAGTAGGAGTTCTATATAAACCACCCTTAAATCTTGTAAATTAACTTTTATAGTTGTAACAGGAAAACTTTCAAATTGGCGGGCATTTTTGTCACAAAGACACGAAAAGGTACGCATATAATTACCAAACACCAAAAATGAAAACAGACTGCTAATATTTCTATAACATTAGCAATAACTAAATTCAGCGTTGCCAATAATGTCCGAAATTGAGAGACTGATATTAATTAATATATTAATTATTATTAAAAATAAATCAGTTTTCCATAAAAATTGCGACATTGTCGCAACTCGTTGGGGGACACGTGTGCGAAAATATCAACCACCTGTGCCGCATAAATTTTTACGGTAGTGTGGCCACTATGCTATTTATTTAAATACATAATACCTATATGTTTATTTCTCTCCGATCTGACAGATCTGAAGTTACGTGATAAAATCTCGGACTAAAAACAAACCCATAGGAAAGTAGGGGCCGATATGTGAAGTAGTGCCTTATAAAGGAAAGCGAACTCCATTTTTTGTGGCAAATTGGCGGCTTGGAAAAATTTGTTAAGGTTAATTTGCTGCCTATAATTTTGTTTTTGTTATATTTTGTATAGAAGAGATTTTAAATATGCTTGGATATACGTGTGCTTTTCGTGGATGTCATTCAAAAACTGCTGGAGGTGTAGGTTTCCCTATTACTCGGTAAGTACCTTACATTTCGCCTATTCCGAATAGTTGGTTTCATCTTCCCATCCGAAAAGAAATTTAGGTTGCAAGGAAGCTAGTGTAAAAGCGGTGTAATGATTCATAAACATTCAGTTCTTGTTATATGTTGTCCAGTGTTTTGAATCGTTATTCGAAATTATATCTCTTTATTTATTATAATGTAAATACGCCTTAGCTCTCCAGGTGTTCAAAACAGCCCCCGGTATCGCTAAGTTTTGTCGGTTCTGTATGGGTTCGTTTTTCTGTGTCTCATATAAATTACAGCTCATGATATTAAAAGAAAATTTAAAAAAATAAAACCAACCAAGTTTTTCTAGATAATGGATGCAAAGGAAAAATAGGTTCAATTTCTGGGTTTGGATCTGACAAATTAAATTGATAGGAACTGTCTTAGCAGCAGCCTGTCATTCACTTTACGATTCAACTAATTGATGAAGCGGCAAATCTAGTTTATACAATTTTGAAATGCAATTTCATTTTCTTTGAAAGCGACGTTAAATATCAACGCACCCCACGTTTGTATTAAATAATTCAAATGGGAATAAAGAACATCGAAATGTTGACGAATTTAATTTAAATTGGTTCGCTAGTTTTTGCTATCTAAGCATAATTGTTTTTTTATCACTTAAAAAACACCAGCGTCTAACGTGTTGACATGCACGTATTACTCAATCTATATTTAGAACGCAATATATAATAAAGGCTTCTTTGTGCCAGTCTTAAGAAAATCTAACAGTTCTTTGAATTGTCGCCAATTATTCGGAGGGTTTATGGTACGTACCTTTGCAAATGCCGAAAATTTCATTCAAGAAATCGTTGGTAGTAGTTAAAAATTGACTATATCCTGAATCTTTCATCGATAGGTGATCCTCAATATTTAGGTAAAATAGTTCCGCGCTTATGTACTGCTCGAAGTGTGCTATCAGACTAAAAACTGGCGGAGTGTAACGGGGCCGGGGTCAAAGAGTTATCAGTGAAAGTGCATGTGATTTTTAAGAAACTTGTATCTCCCAGAGCATAATTATTTTGATTTCTACCTAATCACAATTTAAATAACGTTACTCAATCGTTTTTGGTCGCAGCAGGAGATAACTATTTCGACTTAAAGATAACAACCGCGACTCGCGCTGAAGTGTTCCCCGTTATTAGTATTATTAGCATTAGAAGAACCTATTCACTATCCCCGTTATTAGTATTATTAGCATTAGAAGAACCTATTCACTATCCCAGCGCATTCGCCATTTTGTTGATATCGCCTAGAACGCAGATGTCTGTGTTGTATTCTGTGGATAGAATTTTTTTTACCAATTTTGTGTAACTGTGGGCCCTGATACGATATTAAACTTCTTTAATTAGAAAATGGATATAGGAAAAGGAGATCCTTTGATAAAGTAGGAGGTCGACATTTCTGTTTCTATTTTTATACTATATACCAGAGCATCAGTCGTTTTTCTGATCTGAAAAAAAATCTAATTTTATCTACTTAGTAGAGTAGAGTAGAGTAGGGTAGTAAGGTCAATAATTGTAAAGCAAAATAAAACTTATGCAATTTTAATTTCCCGCAAGTGATGAAATTGTATCTAGTCACTGACTGGGCGCATGGGCATAGACCATTAAACTGTGCAAAAACGAAAGAACGGCAGTTTGACAGTTTCAAATTTTATATAGCCGCGGCCGGCCATTTTATAACCGAAAAATCCGTGAAAAGTACGTTCGTGAATTTTATTATACGTTAAGGATCAAGTTTGGATTTATTTGTGTGATTATTGTGTTCTGTGATTTTCCGTCGTCCTTGTATTCTTTTAATTTATTATTAATTTTTTGATAGTAGTGAACATTTTTTGCAAAATACTTACCCGGGAGAGACAGAACAACTTGGCGCAACAACGGACTTAAACATTTAACGACTTGTGTAGCATTAGCCATACAATAGGGAACAAGTGAATTAATACTTCTAGAAGGCTGAAAGAGAGAAAAATACTTATGAACAATATATCAAAGCAACACAGTGTTATTTAAGTAACCGCCTACATTTTGTACGTGGAAAGCTCTAGAAGATTTTCAGTTAGTTTTAGTTGGCAACAGTGTTTCTTATGTAACTATAAACTGATGTGCATTTTATGATGCACAGGTAAGTTTGGTAGTATATATGCTCATAAGCAATAATCTCGTAACCCTAGATTCTTTCTAAAACAGTAAATCAGATTTTGTATTCATATAACCTTCCAGGAGTATTATTTCTGTCTGTACCATACAGCTACCAGAGATATAGGGGCCCTGTCTAAGCCGATAATATAAGAACTTATGAAGCAATATTAAGAAAAAAAAATAAGAAGTTTCATTCAACACGCGCATGCGCGAGATTTAAAATTTCGTTTTAAAGCAATGACCTGCGGCTCCAATAAGCAACATGGACGCTGACAGATTGTTAATAATTTTGGATGCGGCATTTTAAGAGAAGCATTTTTTCAAAATATGCCTAGTTCTCGTTATATCTTCTGGAAAAACAAGTTAAGTGTGTGGAAATTCTTGTATATAAAGAAAGTGGCGCAATGTGCGAAAAATCGTTACCTTCTCTACAAAAAAAATCAATGCCACCTGCGCCGCATCAATTTTTACCGTAGTAACGCCACTATATTATGTAACAACTACTAATAAATTAGAAGAAAAATATTTACAATCGAACTTGTTGGAGTTTCATTAATCATCCTGTTGGCTTTTTCAAAGGTTAACTGAAATTGTTTAAGTTAAGCTCTTAAGTCTCAGGTGAAAGCAACACGATGGTTAGTGAAACATCAGAAAGTTCAATTCATCAGTAACCAATGAAGTAGGAATCCTGAAGATTTGTAATTGGTAGCCTGTATAAGTTTCTTAGAAAAATTAATTAGACAAAATACAACATATTTTATTCAGAATAAAGTTTTATTTTACACAACTATGCTGCACAAGATTAACTCTGTTGACAAGCTCTGACTGCAATCAGCTGCAGCAATATGTATACAGGCGCAAATACTTCCGAGTAATCCAAAGATAGTTGGGCGAGTAACTTTTTGCACAATAAAAACTTAAACATAAAGGTCAAAGTTAAAAATGTGGTCGACCACATCAGCCTCAGCGTGGAGAACTTTAGGGTGGCCGCCATCAGCATACGAATAAAAATAATAATGCAGTAATATGCGTTCAGGGCATCTCCGAGGAACAATGGAAAAAAAATCAGCCACCAATTGTTACTGTAAATCTCCACGTCAGGGTTAAACTTAAATGCAAGTATTAAAGTAAATGCTAAAAGGGAAATTAGGTTGATCCATATTTCAAAGATCGTCAGACCCAACCATCTCACGAGTTCATCGATTGTGAAGAACATTCTAGTGTATTTGTACGAAAAACTTTTATTCTCAGAGCCGAATTGAATCGTTTTTGTAGATCGTAGTCTTCCTCATCCACGGCTGGTTCTAAATCATCTAAAAATGGCCATTTTATTACCAAATGTCTCAATAAAGAAAATATTAAACCTGTTAATTCGGAAGTAAACGTATTAGCATCGATTTCGAAAGCCGCATGCTTTTCGCACAATCGAAGTGCCAAAATGACGCCACGTTGAATCGCTGCTCCCAAACAATATATTATAATTTCATTTTCGTTATTATTTATCAACTTATCGCACTTCTCAAGTAAGGCCTGCAATGTTAATATGCCATGTCCCGCAAATCACATCCATATTGAACTTTATTACTTTGATATTGGTTTTGGTGCTAACGTATATCACCGAATCTCCTTGCTCTGGTTTCTGCGGCTGCCTCTTTCGAAGCACGTGGTTTGGGTATTTATTAGGTTGCTTGTTTTTTCTGTTTGGCCTCTGCTTACCGCTCTCTGCCATTACATAGTTTTCGCAAACGAAAAGATACGATTTTGTGTTAGCTATTACAGCAACTAGATAGTAGATGTGTGGGTTAGTTTTACTTGGAAGGTGTACAAAAAAGAGAACAAAATGACACACCTTTCTGTCTGTCCTGAACAGTGCACATTGTAATCTTGGCAGTCGACATGTGCGAATGTCCCTGGTAAATACGCCTTACGTAACGTAAAAATGCAGAACTATTCCATGATCTACCGTCCTTGTGAAAAGTCGAGGTCATCTTGGACACTTATACAAAGCATAACTGTGATGTTTTTTATGTATATTAAATTGAGGTATAATCTGAAATTTGGAAATGGCTTTAATATTGACAAAACGATGTTTCTGTCCCCATTCGCCAAGAAATATGAAAAAATTAGCCCACTACTTCGTTAAGCCTGCAATAGATTTAAAGGTAATCTTTAAATCCGTACTATTTACAAATCTGGATTCCTCCTACATCGATTGTTGGTGAATGGAAGGGACATGAACATTATCTTCATAAAGAAATTGAGTCGGAAAGAAACTCCAAAATAGACACATCATTATGTTCATTCATTCATTCAAAGACCACATTTCAAAAGTTTCAAAAATTTCTCAACATCTTGGAGGCATCAAAAATAAAATTCTGTTTGAAACACCATGAGTTTACAGCATTCCATGTACATGCAGCAAAGAATACATTGGAGAATCACGAAAAATATCACCTAGACTAAAAGAACATGAAAAAATCTGTGGAACATAATCGTGAAACGAACCTCAAATCTTGCATGTAGAAAGTAGAAAAGTCTAAACAACCCAACAATCTTAAATGTGACTCAGATATTTGGTCTATAGGCATCAGTCATCTGAGACAATGTTTATGTCCTTGTAGCTCCGCCTGCTTCAAACGGTATATAAGCAGGTACAGAATAGAAAACTAACCAAATTCAGTTAAGATCTGCAGAAGCCAATAGAATGATTGGCGATACATCAGCAAATTAAATTCATTGGCACCTCACTCAGGAGGAATCCAGAAGATTTGTTAATAGTAGTACAGTGGATTGTGCAAGTTTCTTTGAAAAACATTTAAATCATTATTGGAAAACATGGACCAAATATTTTTTACCATTTAGAATTGTTACAAAATATTGGAGATAGAAGAGACCAGTGATCAAGAACAAATACGTATGGCCTATTTGAAGTTAGTCAAGCAATATCATCCTGATAGTGGTAGCGAGAAAGCTAATGCACATAAATTTCAAGAGGTACATTGACTTTCTTTTTCATTATGTGACAACCAAGCCCATACATTTTTAGATTGATGAAGCCTTTAAAACCCTAATTAACAAAAATTTTAAAGAGAGATGGGAAATTCCCGAGGAGGCTGTGATTCAACAAGATATTAAGGTAATTAATTGTGTTGAAGTCTTGATTATTGGTCAGTGCATAACGCTGTAGCATACGGCTCCACAACATAGACAGTACTTGAGTTTTGAGGGTGTGGGTTCAGGAAATCCTTTCCAAAGGGAACGGCAATATTCTAAAGTTCGCGCTATGCAAGCAGCAGAGAATGTATATAATCACAGGGTGGCGAAGGTCACCGCCGATGATAAGGCCCTGCTCGAAAAAGTCCCTTTGAAGCACAAAATAAAGACCAAGTAGGTCTCAATTTTTAAAACTCGAATTATTTCTTCTATTTTTGTCTATTAGATATGGGTTTGAAAGATTGGTTGAAGACTTGATACAGCAGTCAATTTCCAAGGGGGAATTTAACAATTTAAAAGGTAGCGGCAAGCCTTTGCCTGAACACCAGCATAGAAATCCTTACGTGGATTTTATAACGCACAAATTAAACGAGGTACATTTTCAAATTCGTTAATTTAAAGATAAAGTTTTTATCTAGCATCTTTAGGTATTGATCGACAACGGATTCACTCCGGAATGGATATTGCTCCAGAAAGAAATCCGACTTGAGGCGAATGGGCTGCGAAAGGACTTGTTTAGGGAGAGACAATATTTTGGCCCATATCCACTATCGGTGGAGGATAATATCGAGTGGAGTAACATAGTGTATAGGTACCAAACCACCGTAAATAGAATTAACAAGAAAATTGAGAAATTTAATTTGGTCGTGCCCATCTTGGATAAGCAAATGGTTCAAGTTTGTTTGGAAATGGAGGCCCAAAAGGCGGTAATTCAAGGAAAGAGTTACGAGGATGTACGATTCGAAATGCCGCAGCGAAGAGAGAAGAAAAGTGCAAGCGAATCCTCGGAAAACGCGAATTTATTCGGACTGATTGATTTTATTTTCGGAGGAAAATAAATAATTGTAATTTGTTAGAGTGCGGTTTTAGAAATAAATAACTTATTTTGAAATAGTTGTAAATTGTAATAGTTATTTTTATTGGCTTTTAAAGATATCAAGGCAAATAAAAAAACAAAATGTTGGGTAATGACATGTTAAACAAAATATAACAATTTTCTCACACATTACGCTATTTCTTATTATTTTTTAATGAAATTCCCAATATTTTATCGGTATTCAATAGTAATAATACTAAAATAAAACACTATATTTTGTTCTACTTGTTTTCAAGATATTGGAATAGGAAATAATCATATATATAATTTGGTAGTGCTGTGACTAACAATTAAAGTCATTCTTAGATTTGCCATATTGCGAAGTGATTTGGTTAATACCTTGTAGATAATCTAGGGCCCCTACAACGGTAAAAATTGATACGTTCCGAGTGTTTGTAAGAAACGGGAATTTTCTTTCTAAACAGCGATGTCCACACAATTAATTCGTTTTTCCGGAATATTTAACGATATCTGGACAAATTTTAAGAAACCTGTCGAATTGTCAAACTGTTAACGGCCATGTTGGTTAGTATTATCAGTATAGATATATACCTAAGATAAAATAATCTGCGACCACACCGCCGGCCATCAATAATGTTGATTATTTTTCTCCGTATGTGATAGACAACTGGACCCATTTTTTAAGTTATATTGTGGTGTTATAAGACGCATAATCTCGGGTCGCGTATTGGTAAATCAAATGTTAAGTGGACATCATCATTTGCATCTCTTACAACACGATATATGAAAAATCTACCCCTAAATATAACAACACAAATAATATGGGCAGCAAGATGGCGCTCCTCCCAATGTTTTCTTTCTGTCTATGGAAAATCTATAACTATTAGTTGACGAACCAACAGCATAAACTTGACATTAATGGATTTCTTTTTCCTGGGGTACATAAAAGTGACGGCGTAAAATGTTCGTCCGTAATCCTATGTTGCTGCATCTATTTTCTCTATTTATCGGCAAGTATTTGGTTTTCTGTTATGCTTATGCCGTATGCTCTCTCCTCTCCTTGCGATAATGTCGTTGGACTTTGGCAAATAATTACCGTAGTGACCACTCTGTCAAGAGGCGATTTGGAATTATTGCTCAAAAATTCAAAACAATTGAAATTTACGAAATATATATAAATATATAAATATATATATATATATATATATATATATATATATATATATATATATATATATATATATATATATATATATATATATATATATATATATATATATATATATATATATATATATATATATATATATATATATATATATATATATATATATATATATATATATATATATATGAAAATAACTGTAATAATTTGTAAGTAGTGACAAAAAATAAAAATCATCTATGTAGTAGGAAATGGTCAATTCGGGATATTCAGACAAGTCCGAAACTCAACAATATATTGGCACTACAAAACGCAACACGAAAATGATGAATACCAAAAGTACAAAAAGTAACCACGCGTCTCTAATTCTAACATAATCCAACCTTCTTAACTAGACCCTAGTTTGCATTCGTTCCTCGGACCATATATGTAGGATACATTTTATTGGTTCGTTTAATGATTACCAACAATCTATTTTTGTCAAAATCTCGAAAACAAGTGGAATAAAAAAAAAGTGTTATATAATTGTAGTCAAAATAAGGCGTTCTATTGGATGCCGATAAAATATACCGGGTGTTCCACAAAAATTGTTGCTATCCCAAATAGCACTAGGGATATGCTGTTTCAGCTAAGGGACATTCTTAAGACGTCTCAAGGATATACAATGTTACTAATTGGAACGTCCACGTTATATCAGATACGTATGTCCGTAGGATGTTTGTTAGGACATACTAAGGCTATCCAGTTATACTAATTGAGACGTCGTTAATATATCCGACTGTGAGGATATAGGATCTTATATAGATATACCAGTGGACCTTACTTAATTATTAGGTTATTAATACTGGAAAGGTAATGTCCAGTATTCCAATTGGTTGTACGACTACAAAAATTGTATCACAGTATTTGGTACTAGCGTGTAATGGAATTAACCTGTTGGGTATGGTAGGTGAAGTCAACACTGGAGTAGAGTAGGTGATATTTGAAATGTACAAGTTTTTTTTTCAATTAATTAATTAAAAGTGAAGGACTGCCGATTGATACCATTAATTAAACATTTTATACATATCTCATTTTTTTCTATTGTAGATATGAAAAAATTGTAGGTATATAATATAGCAAAAATACGGAACAACCTAACCTAAAGTATCTTAAAAATAGAGTAAGATACTATATCTTGAATTAAACTGTAAAAGAATAACTAATATTTGACAGGTTGTCTGTCATTCTTTGATGAAAGTAAATTTTTTCAGCCAAGCAGCTATTGAATTCTCACATTCTTTTGATGTTTGTGATGTGTTTGCCTTCTTATCTGCATCTGAAAATATTTTAGTTTTGAGAAAGACAGGTTTTATATATCTGTACTTTATAAAAAAAAAGAACGGACTGGTATCTGGGATTTTGTTTTACTTTTTTTTTACTTACCTTGGTACAACAGGGTACAACATTAAAGGAAAAGGTATTTCTTTCTACTGTACAAATTTAAAAAACTGCATAAACATTCAATATGGTACCTAATGATAAGTTAAAACAACTTGTGGTATAATTCCAATATAAAACCACTAAAAATATATCACACAATACAATAATCCATATTTTACAATCGTCACTTGTAACACAGATAACTTCACTCTCTCCTCTCCCCATGGGGAACTATAACCCATCCATCCCCCGAGCTCCTAACTCCACCGTTTTGGTTCTCTCTGTCTTTCTGCTGTTGCAACAGGTCCCTTATCAGTCGTAAAGATTCTTTTTCTTCCTGGAGCGTCCGGAGCGTCCTTTGCCTTTGTTCTTCTTCCGCTTGCGCGGCGAGCAGCTGGTTCTTCTTCTGCTCCAGCAGAATTAACTCGGTCTGTATCTGAAAAATACGATAAATTTTTTAGCACACAAAGTAACTTTGTGGTTTTGCGCTAAAAATAAGCGCCATTGTGGTAGAAAATGAATATATATATATATATATATATATATATATATATATATATATATATATATATATATATATATATATATATATATATATATATATATATATATATATATATATATATATATATATATATATATATATATATATATATATATATATATATATATATATATATATATATATATATATATATATATATATATATATATATATATATATATATATATATATATATATATATATATATATATATATATATATATATATATATATATATATTGTATTAGTTCAACAAAGTATTCGTAATTTCTGCATATAGGGTTTGTTTGAATGTGAACAAGAATAATTGTTATTTTTGAAAGATTGCCGAGTAGTCTGACGTATTCCAAACTAATTGATCACTACATTGGTTGTTTGTAACGTTTAAATGCACGGTTGAATTTAGATAGCGAGAGTGTTTATTTTTCGGCAATTACCAAAGCAAATATACGAAACCCCGAAAGATATACACACCGATGAAATAAAATGCGTGCTTAACAAGAATTACACTGTTGTGGCAATTATTTGTCCAGCATAAACTTAGAATTTGGTTAGTTTCGAGTTTAATGGTAGGAATATACTGAAAAGTGTATTGCTGAAGTTTTATGGTACGGTACTTTTTGTTTGCTCAAGGTGAGATGTGAAATAGATAAGTATATTTAGGGCTACTTTAAAGTAACAGTTAAAGTCACTACATTGATGTAGTGACTTTATTTAGGGTTTATTCTACACGACCTTTACAATATGACGGAGGAACGACGAAAGAAAAGAAACGGATGTTTATGTTAAATTGAAGTACAAATTTATTATAGTCTTTTTAGACTGTCATATGATTCGGGGTAAATTTCGGGGTATTTTTACCTGACGAAACAAGTTTAGGTATTGTGCTCATACTTGTAAGAATGACAATAAGCTGGTTAAAATGTTTAGATGAATCTGTAAGTATATTTTCCTCTGTTACATGTGTAATTAAAAGTTTTTGTGTTGGAAATATGTTTTTCAGGAAAAAGATTTTGTATCGATTTTTATTTAAAATGCCAAGTCATTTTTTCTGAAATATCACGGAATGGCATGACAAAAGTTATACTTTCCGATTGAGTTATTTTTTATTGTTTAGAAAAATATGCACAATAATAGGTATTCGATATGGGAAATCAAAGTATGTGTTTTTTCTACTCCCTTCTGTAAAATTATACACTGATCTACCGTGCGGGAAGCGTCACTTTACCACGTGCGTCTCTTGCCCCAGGGATCCGAGCCCCTTCGGACATTTCCGGGATATTACAGCCGGGGTTTTCAGCAATCGGATGTTTTCGAAGATTCTACCGCACGGCTTGAATTTTGACGGTCATGTCAGTCAATTTATTCGTTTTGTTTGGCAAAAATGTACTCAAAAACTAGCGGTCGTAGAAAAAGTATAGTATGCAACACCTCTGGTAAACTTTTTAATTCACTCGTTTATTAAACACCCGCTCTGCTCGCGCCAAATAAAATCGTACTTGTTGCATAATATACTATTTTAATATACACAAATTAAAACTTGCTGTTTATTTTTTCTTGGATATGCAAATGGTACAGGTACCACTTGCTTTAACACTGTTATTCCTCGAAGACATCAAAGATTTTTTGTAACGACGTGTTGCTTGCTTCTGCACACTGCACCCACAGTTTTGTCCACTGGGGATGATTAATCAAGGAAATCATTCAGATCGGTTTATTTTTCTGTCCAGACATAGAAAACTTAAGCTAAAACCTGTTTGCAAGAATCCTTCTTTTTCTTCTTTGTTTTTTACTACGTTATTTACATCATTTCCATATAGCCACTACAAAACATCAACGAGAGACACTTCGAGAAGCACTGCCGTAGATGTCGCTATTGGCGCAGAGTAGGAAAAGTTTTAAAAAGAAGCTCGATTAAAGTGAGATATATGCCAAGAGTCATAACGGAATTTTCCGCGGGTTTTTGAAAATTAACGCGAGGCGGTTTTGTTTACTGATCCGTGAACACACTCAAGACGTTAAAAATGTTTACCCTTTGATCCGACGATTAACACGAGATGCCGAGACAACTATGAGGGATATTGTTAAATCGATCGAATCGAACGTGACGTATATTTTTGAAGAGTGAATCATCTTATTTACGTAGCGTGGCATTCGCCCAAATTTTGTTTAAAATTGTGGTTATATATAAACATTTTTTAAGAATTCACGATTAAAGGCAATTAATAGAGCTTAATAGATTAATTTTTGTTCATGGCATGTGTAACAAACATGTGTAACATGTGTAAACAATAAAGCGTAGACAAAACTTACTTTCCAATATTCCGGAGCCATTTTCGCGTGCTCTTCGTACAATTCGACCGACCTGGGGTCCCCGAAGTCGGGCGTGGCCGGTCTCAGATGGGGGTCGAGCGAATCCAAAAGGACGGAAATATCGTTGACGTCTTGATTGGAGCGTGTAGTGTGTTCCGTGGTACTGCCGGCCGTAACAGTGTTCTGTGAACCTGAAAGAAAAGTATTGTGATTAATGAGCAAGAATGCTTATTAACTAAAAATAATCGAAAATATAAAAATCAGGTATGGTCTGGATTTTAAAAACACTCATAAATAAACAATATTTGTTTACTCCGCGTTATTAAGCATTTGTTTATCTGGATTGTTTGGTTGTTACGTTACCTCAAATACCATTTGGTGCAAATCTAAAATCTATTTTCAATTTTTATGCATAAATACGAGTTATATCATTATCGAAGATTCTAGAACGCTGACCTTTTGTATACAAAAGTTATTTTTCCATTTACCCCGAACTAACAGGATTAACTGGAAAACGGATTTACTGGTGATTAGTGTTTGGTAGAGTGGATTTCTGAAAATCGAAAACCCCAGTCTATCCGAAGACCTGTACAGACCATGTTCATCTAAAAGAAAATCGCCTAGTTTCCAAAGCATTTTCAAACAAAATTCTCTGTTAACCACACGTACTTAGAATCGAAGATTAATCAAATAGGTCTGTCTAATTGTACAAATATCAGCGTTTAGAAAGAAATCACTGTTTATTAAAGATGTATTGATACATTAACACCTTTGAAGTGATTCTATCAATTTTACAAAATGTTTAACAATTTTTTTATTTTGGAAATCAAAGTACTGAAAGAACATTGATTCCACCTGTAACCCTAGAAAGCATTTTCATTTTTGAAGAATTAATTAAGGTTGACTGTTTTATTTTAAATAATAAGATTAATTACCTTCTTCGAATACCAATAACTTTTAAATTCTTGAATACTTTACGATAACACATGTTTAGGGCTGTTTGACCGTGTGCAAATAATTTGATAAAAACCGAATTGCAATATGCATAGTATAATGAGCTATGCAAAAAGTAAAGTAAAATTAAATAACAATTTAAAAAAACCCGAGTAGTTGATTTACGTTATTTATGTTCAATAAGGTGTCCGTTTTACATACAAAGCGTAAGTAATAGTTTTTCAAATTTAATTATTGGAGGGATTAAATATAATGTAGAAAACACGAAGCATTGTGAAAACACTGGCAACTACTTTTTGCTCCTTTTTTGCCAAAATAGAAAAAAAAATGGTTCAGTCTGAAAACTTTCCTGTTTCACTCCAACTAGAAGACAACTGCAGATCTTTTCGAATGATATTAACTCGTTACATAATCGTATAAAATTTACCATCGAGACGGAACAACACAATTTATTAAACTTTGTGGATTTAACTATATATAAACCACAAAACAAATTAGATTTTCCATTTCTATCATTAACCTTCATATACAGACACACATGTATTACATAAAAACTCAAATAATCTTTACCTATATAAAATGGCTGCTTTTCATTCTTTTATCACAGACTGCTTAACATACACACTTTCTACAGACAATTTTGAAAAAAGAAATATAATAAAACACACAGCTTTACAAAATACCTAATTATACACAGATAAAGCGTGCGGAAAGTGTCATTTTAAGATGTCAGTTTCGTTACCTACGAGTGCCAGTCACTTCCAACATTTCCGGGATAGCAATCACTTCAATCGGTTTCAATTTTGACGTTTTCCAATTCTGACGATGATGTCACACGCCACTCAGTGAATATATCAGTGCTGTTTTGTAAAAAATGTAACAAAAACTTATGGTCGTAGAAACATGATAGTATGCAACCGTTGATAAACTTCTTGAGTCACTCTGCAATTTCAAATAACTCTAAACTCTATTTACTCCATATTAAACACCAAACCTCAAGTTTTTCAAACAATAAAGCAAGTAAGACAGTTTCAAACATCTCTCTAAATGTGGTCTCAGGATCTATCTACAGTGACTCACAGCTTAAATGATGCAGTCGCTATAACAAAACTAACTGGTCTGAATGTCTCTTTATTTATTTGAAAAAAACAACTTATTAAATTTAAGTTAGTAACGAGCCTTCTAAAAAAAGTCTGGATTACTTTTTGTCTTAAACCCTTACTTAGTTAACAATAAAGAATTAATTAAATTATATACAATATTAACATCACAGCTTAAATGACGCAAAACAAAATATAACCAAATCAATAGAGGAAAACAACTGCTAATATTTATTCGGGCCTCCCTCATTATCGATAACGGCTTGTAGTCTTCTGGATATTGATTCAACTAATTTTCTAGTATATTCCAGAGAAATTGTGTTCCATACTTCAGTAATTTTTACTTTGTTTTTTAACCACACATTTTATATTACATTTAAATCTGGTGACTGGGCTGGTGTGTTAATAACATTTGGGCAGTTATAAAGGAACCAACTGCGGACCCGAAATGACGTGTGCTTTGGATCATTGTCATGATAGAACCGATAATTGTTACCCATATTTAATTTTTGGGCAATAGCAACCTTATGCTGCCTTAATATAACCAAATACACATATTGGTTGGTTCATTTTTGCTTCAACGAAATGCATATTACCTACCCCTGCAGCCCCATAACATCACTCCACATCCACTGTGCTATACCATAGCTTTTAAATTTTTCAATTTTAATTTTTCCTTAGGCTTTCTTCATACTGATATTTTTCCATCGGATTCAAATCAGTTTCTTTTGGTCTCATCGGCAAATATTTATCGATACCATTACTAGCGAATGCCAAGTTCACGCATATGTTTCTTTGGCTAATGGAATGCTTATTTTTTCGCAGGATTCTTCGAATTGTTTCGGGGTTACACCTTTTTCCACCTCGACACAAATCTTTGGAGCACTTTTTTTGGAAAATTCGATACCTCTCTTAGAATCCATCTTTCCTCACGTTCATTGAAGATCTTATTTGGAGCTAACCTTGACTTATTCTCGATCCTATTTTCGTTACAGTAACACTCAATGATATGCCGAACAGTTGAGGGACATTTATTTACCAACTAACCAAAACGTGTTTTAAAATGTGAAACTAAACAAAAAACAATTGCAGTAATAAATCAAAACCACGCCTTGGTAAATTTCAAACTCACCGTGGTTATTATTTTTGCATCATTTAAGTTGTGACGTTAATATTGCATATAATTTAATTAATTCTGTATTGTTAACTAAGTAAGTCACTACAAGTCACAAAAAACTCAAAAATAAAAAAAAAGGACCAGGCAAGCGTTCGTTCGAAAAGCAATTTGTAAAATAAACTTATATCAGTAAAATTTTTGTCCCAATCTTTCTCCTTTAAAGCACTGGGAGTTTATAAGCGAGGCCACTTCCGTTTCGAGTTGAATTTTAATTATAATGAAAAAATAACTGGTTTTAGTCTTCTTTTCACGGATTCGGCAAGCGACAGAGACGAATTGTTTGTTATCGACGCTTCGATTTAGCCTTGTCGCGTTCGACCGCGGCACGTTGTTGGACGAAACGCTGGCAGCGGTTCAAATCTGCACAACTTCCTTGTTTACGCGATTTTTCTCCGATGACTAGCCGGCGGATCGTTTGTCATTTCCCCGACGACCGCGTTTTGTTCTCTATTTATAACGCGATTTTCGGCGGAAAAACGGCATATTTAACACGACAAATGCGTGTCGAATCGCCCCTGTTTCTCAAATAAATAAATAAATAAAAACAATAGTTAAGGTCTGTTCATAGATATAAGAAAGTGACTAACTGATACGAATTAAGGAAAGACCCGGGTAAGCTGTAAGAATGAAATATGGCCGAACAGGTCCGTACTTTGCTTAGAATTTAATTATTTGGGGTTTTGTTAGGAAATATACTAAACAATATTTATTTATTTATGTATGTATTTATGTTTAAATCTAAAATAAAATTACACATTTTTTTCATTACCTACTTAAATTACTTAAAATTATTCACATAAAATATCAGTATCACTATCGTTATCATTTGCAATATGGATATACGATTACAATTACGCTATTAGGAGGAATGTTTGGAACTAATTTGTTTTTAAACCAACTTTCAAATAAATCAGCGGTTGTGTCTTCATGGTAATCCAGAGAAGAATCTTTAATATTTTTCGCAGAGAAAGTCCACTTGGAATCCAACCATCTTTAAAGCCAGCTTGCAAAATCGTTATTCTTTTACCTCTTTTTGATGGCGCGTTTGTTTCACACTTATCAGTTGAGTCAACCCAACCCAATGTGGCCGTTTCTTCTAAAAATGGTCACTTGCTGGCACCACGTTCAATGAGAGTCAAATAAACATTGTTTATAACTTCCTTAGTCTCAATAGAATAGTGTTTTCTACATTTGGGCCGGAGCATCTCCTGAGATACACTAGACTCGCACACATTTTGCATAATTCGCACTCGATTCAACACACGCTATATTACACACGAAATAAGAATGATTACTAATAAACTTAAACTCAGTAGTATATCAAACCAAAGAATATTAAACACAGGTAGGTGTAAAATTATTTTCTAGTACGGACCACAATTTTACCTGAATTTAAATTCCGGAACTTTAGGTAATAATCTTGTTGCATTGTATGTTAATGACCACCCTTGGATAATCTCATTCAAAAGCAATTGATCACTTTCTCATATCTATGAACAGACCATACCGCTAAAATCTTTAGAGCAAATTTATTATAGGTACAGGATATAATGAAACCTGTTGAAAATTAACTTAAAATCAAGCGGAGAAATTAAAATGATAAAACACACGCCACCGTCATAGGAAGTTTTTTTTAATAGCTGTCATTGCAACGACTGTACTCAGTCACGTGGTGAAATAACGAAAGACCCCGATGATGGCTGCTGCTAAAAACGCTAAATACAAAGAAGCAACTAAAAAAATATGAAAATATATTAAAAATGCAAAATATTAGTCGATGCTGATTGTCTTCCATAACGGCCATTTTCTTAAAATTCATATTCAAAATCATAATGTGCTTTATCAGTAAATCGTATTTCTTTCGGGAATTATTGTGTTTTGTCCCTTCTTGTTACTATCGAAAAATCGATGACATCGAATTTTTCTTAAGTATACATACACGCTTGGCAATGAAAAGCAA